ACCATATAAGAATTACAATAAAAGACGCCGAAGACAATGCCGGTCGAAAAGTTGGCGACGTTCGTGACGCCTCAATTTCACCTCGCCGCATTCCTACTCCCAACAGCTGCTAGTGTATCGACCCCGATAGGTCTTTAGTGTTGTCCGCTGTCGTTAGTATGGCATAGATATGTCGATTGATATTAGCGTCGTTGTTAAAATTTATGTAGCGAGCCAAGGAACTCGAGGGATGGCCCCTAAAGTTTTCTAAAATTAATTTAATTAATAAATAAATTATTAATAAGTTAGCCAAGAAACGCCACGTATATTCATGGAAACATTTTTCTTTTAAAATTTGAAATCGACGTTAAACTTGGGAAAGTAAATTTCTAATGGTAACAAATTAAAATTACGATACTGAATTGATTGTGAATGGTCTGGACTATTTTTGTTTACTTGTTCTTCGGCTTGAAACGGATAAAAAACCTCAAGCTTATATATTAACATTCAAATGAAAATTATTAAACTTCTCATCATATTTGTCAATGTTAATTCCGGGCAAAAAATCATTTAAAAATGACCGTAGATAATACTCGGAACATTATTAAAAAACAGGATTCGTCAGTATTTATTGAATGAAACTCAATAAATACTGACGAAAACATTATAAAACACATATCGATAAAAGAAACGGACATCACTATCTCTTCTTAATAAACAAAGCTCCATGCATTCCGTTCTCTATTTCCTTACACCGTATCTGTGGCGTGGACGACCTTCGCCCGCTTCTTGCTTCATTTGATATTAAAACGCTACCTGACGAAACAGCCTTATATTTATAACATGATATTCCTTATAATTATTTCTTAATGAACACTATGAATTGTTATTAACATGTAAATTAATCTATTTCGTGACTTTGTTATGCTTCATTTCTTTTAAAAGCGCGACGTTTTGACCGTTGGTTTACGACCTATAGCCATACTAGCTGCTACCCGCGACTACGTCTGCGTAGAATAGGCTGAAGGCGTAACATTCAGAGAGAAAGACAGATTATTAAATATGGATATAAATTATAAGCCTATGTCTTATTCTGATGTATAAGGTATATTATTGTAAAATTTCATTAGAATCCATTTAGTAGTATTTGCGTGAAAGAGTAACAAACATCCATCCATACATACAAACGTTCGCATTTATAATATTAGTAATAATGCACCAAATTAGACGTCGATAAAAACAGTTTTATTCGTCCAGTATAGCTATTCATTGACCGCCTTATTTTGCATTTATCGTATAAGAAATAAAACAGTATTAACACATATAATAACATTGTCTGTAAATTTAAACAGATCACATTTCTCACTTAATGGGCCATATTGAGTAGTTATTAAGCAATAAAAATGAAAACGTGGTAGCTGTAATAAAGTGATGTAAAGTAATCTTTCAATGTCTTTCCCACAACATTGATGACCCGGTTGTGCAGTTGTTAAGCTGTCTGCTTACAATGCCGCGAGTCGTGGGTTCGACTCCCACTCGGGTATTTGTTTGACCAACAGACAATTGTTTGCGAGTTGATTATAATTGATATATGTACGTATCCTTTAGTAAAGGCGTATATATATCAAAATGATATATATCATTTTCATATATATATACGCCTTTGCAAAGCGAATAGACGTAATGGCTTAGTTTTTTAGATGGTTGTTTTATACTTCATTCGATTTTTCTAATACTTTTACGGATAGTTAAAAATCGAAAAATAATTTTATTATAATTTATATATTTTGCCGATAGGCAATACTTATCACGAAGGTAGCCGCAGATTTCCTTAGCCGTAGTTTAAGTTTGTATACTACGTCGGGATTCAATAAATAAGGAGTCTCATTACTAATTGAAATTATAAACTTGAGTTTATTGAATGGAAAATTGAATTGTGACGCAGCATTGCCAGTTCCGTCAAACCCCAACACGGAATCGAGCGACGCGACCTCGATGCGCACAAAGGGCCCTCCACAAACCAGACCTGCTGGTTAATGGTGATATTTATATATGTTATTATGTACCGCGTTGAGTGCAGCGGGTAAAAGAGTCGTTTAGAAGAAGGGATCTTATTTTATAAATGGTATGGTACGAGTGTACACCTTGCGGCACGCCACCGCTGCAAGACATATGCAACTCCAGTTGGGTGGCAGAGGCGTTCAGTTCTTTAAGAGGATTCTCCTAAAAATATTTGGCAGTTAACAAAACAGTTAAAAACCGTCGTCGTTGAAATACTAAGGCACAGACGTATTTCTGATAGCATATATCCCTAGTTAGTGATATTTCGTTTGTTCGACTTCGTTTATCAATAATTTTTAAAAGTTCATTATACATGTCAATATCAAGCTATTATAACGCGAGAAATATAATAAAAAGCAAATGGTTTAAACTTTACATAATAAACAATTCCCTTTTTGATAATGTATACATATCTCTATATATGTATGATATAGGATTTGTTAAGAACTACGTTTTGCGAAAATCAGATAGCCTTGAATAAACCTGACGCAAGTAAACACTAAAATGATCTTGAGAATTTCATTGAGCTTATTCGAACATAGCATAGTGCGTAGAGTAGGTATCAATGTAATTTTACAGACGTTTATGTTTTTTAGCGTTTATAAAATTACTATTTGATTGTGATGGCTGTAGCGTCATACATGTTAAACACGTATAAAACAAATTAATCTGTAATTTATGGTTGTATTCCTGACAAAGTACAGTCAGAGTCGCTCACGTGTACCGGTAATAACTGAATCAAACCGGCTCGTATTATCCGCTTCAAAAGGCTCATGACAGAGTAAATGCATACGACTGTACATTGTATTCATCGTTCTAGATTTATGCGGCCGTGAAATATCTGCCGTGAATGTGATGACAAGGCATCTTATGTTTTATAGTGAATGATGCCTTAAGATTAATGAAATAAGATCCATAAAACCTTTTTTCAATATAAACTGACATCATATGGCGGTTTATTGGAGGAGCGATTGATATCGCTAAGGCCCGAATCGATATATCATGAGTACTCTGTTATGGGAGAAAGACGATTAACTGCATAATCATATCCTGTTTCAACATGTACGAAATACGTGCCGCAGGGCGATATTGAATTGTATGTATCTTGAGAACTTTGTAAGAACGCCTAATTCGTATAAGCTTATTAAATTAGAATATAGTTGATTAAGAGACGTCTCAGGCGTTTCTAGCAATACAAAAATTAAAAACTGAGATGCGATTACCTTTTTATAATTTTTCATTTAAGTGGTTTATCAAGTAAGTGGGCGAGGCGGTAATTTGTCAGCAAAAGATCCCTCTATACTGTATTGAATCTTGTCTCGTAGACATCGAGCCGTTCGATGAAAACTAGTTTCATCCATACCAAAAACACTGCTGAATCTTTATCGGGGTAAGTTCGTGGACGGAAGAAACTGTTTATACTTCTATCGTGCTAGAAACTCCGCAATATCTTCTTCTACCCACGAACGGACGGATTCCTGGAGGACGGGCGTTAATAAGGCTTAAAAGAATTGCAAGAAGCGAAACTATAACATAACATAGTTAATGCACAATCTTTTAATATAATACTGATGTTTACACTAGTTTTCCGCTGGTCTGGCGCCCCGAGCATTTCCCATGACTTATGAATTGCTTTCGCAACACTTGTATGGTCTGAAACTTGCTGTGCTACGTTGGTGCGGTGCGTAATTATAATAATAATAACAACTCTTTTAGAGAGCATTGATTTTTATTTTTTAACCGACTTCAAAAAAGGATGTTATAGGCATTGACAATGTTTTCTTAGTTTTCTATTTGAAGTCGGTTTTTTTTGTTTAAAATTATTGCTCCAACATGTTCTTCTTTATATTTTTATAAATTTGCAATTGTTAAAAATGTTACAACACAAACTATGTGACTGTACCATACAGTTCTTGGACAGTAACAGACAGGCGATTTATAGCTTACATTATTAATTTATTTTATCTCTGTCATGATTTCGGAAGTAGTATGCCGCAAGCAGGCACTCAAGCGCAATAAGTAGTTTGTTATAGTCATGCGTCGATAGAATTTCACAGCGTATCATCAATTTTTCACGCGTACGTTCGGCGCGAATGGCCGATACGTATGTAAAACCTAGGTGACACCTACCGCAATGTTTAAAGAGAAAGCACCCAGCCGGCTCGCATGCTAACGGTACAGCGCTCCAAGTCACAGGCGGCAGCGGGGAAAGCGTAATAAGAATGCCCATTAAGTCTGCAGTCATTTCCATACGGCGTAGTTCTGGTTATTATTAACTATACGGCTGTAGAATTTTATATTATACCCTGATAAACTATCCTCATTGCACTTGCCCGATACTCTAAATTATCACGAATAATTATAATTGTGACTCCACAGTTTAAGACACCGGTAAACATTTCACAACTTTTTTGCGATTTGTCACTAACTTATTTATCTTAATTACCAATTTTAAAAAGGTTATTGAAGGAATACCATCGTAGTCTAAATTTATGTTGCCACTGTATAACGTTCCGTGAACAGAGTACTGTATAGTAATTGACGTAAGAGTTGATTAACGCAACTAACAACTATACACGCTTGTTGCGTCGTTAATTATGCCACGCTATTATGTTTATTATACAACTATAACAAGATACAATAATTCCAATGATTTGGTAAAAAGCAAGAATTCTTCGATTGAATGCGCAGCGGTGAAAAAGAAGTTGTGCATGACAACCATAAGATTGATTCAAAATTCTTACAAACGCTTTCAAATTGTATCAGTTCGTAACAACATGTAAACTTGGAGTATATTTCACTTGACTTACGTAAATATTTTAAACTATTTAGAAACTTACATCATTTCGTTGCGAATTAATAGATGAAAAACATAAAATTGTGCTTGTATAGTAAAGGCGTTCTTTCTTTCGTTACAGAATGCTGGCTATGTGATCAATAGACGTTACACGAAGAGCAAAATGTCACCAGTATGTCACAACTTCGTACAGAACGCGTGGAAGAAAGATTTTTGCTCGAACTGCTTCAAATCGCGCGAAGAGCACGCAAAACAGGATAAGCCGACGGAAGGCGGTAAATATCTAGCGACCCCCTTCCAAAACAGAAGTACGTTCTTCAAGAAAACTCCGCCGAGCATTTTGAAGATACATCCGAAGAAGAAGGGCAAGCGAAATGTACGGTTCCCGGAGGAAGTGTGCAGCGTCATTGGCTATGGCGGTGATGATTGGTCCGATGAGGAGGAATTCGAAGTTTCAGAGGACAACGAAGATGAAGACATATTTCCAGATACGGAAGAAGAAAGGGAACTGTACAAAATAACCAAGTCCAATACAGACTTCAATACGGTTAAAGCCAATCTGTTAGGTGATTCGATTGCTAAGTCCTACACTTCATTACTTCTAGGTAAAATGCAAACCGATTCCGATGGGAAGAAGAAAACGTTAATGGTTTCGGTAACGCCGTTTGGACAAGATAACAAAAATCCAAATGTCAAGACCCACACCCGAAAACCGGCTGTGATTCATATAAATGAAACACACAGTGAAGAATCTGCAAGTAGTTATAAAACTAATATTATTCTGACGTCGTACGTTAAGGAATCCGAAACAATAGTTGCCTCCGAAGGCGTAAGAACAACGGATGGTATTTGCACTGAAAAATCGCTGTTAGAGGAAATATCAGAGACTTTACAGCAAAACAGAATGAGTAACAGTTCAGATCTTAATTTAACTCAGAACGAAAACAACAAACCAACGGTTATTGAAGAGAAGAGAAAGGAGAGCATGCAAGACGAGGTTGAAAAGAAAGACTCAACTGAAACACGTAAAAATGGAATTATGAGAAAATCTCCACTAATAAAAACCCAGGAGAGGCCTAAAGTGAATCTGAGCAGGTCCGAGTTCAAGTTTTGTAAGATCAACATCGAAAACAGCAGCGTTGACTCTGCTGTGGGCACGTTGAATTCGACCGCTAACAACTCACTGACATCGGATGACGACAGTTTCAGCGCCCGTACCGACTCCGACAACGACGACAGTGGACATTTCTCCGAAACGCACAAATGTGAGGAGACCGTTAAGATAAAAGTGTTCAACGAAACGGAGAAGGGCATTAAAATGTCCCCAATCGGACAGTTGAGGAAAGCGGACGGGAATGCGGGCAGTGGATACAGTACGTTCCAAAATCCCATCATTGATATGCCCCCGATCATCCCTAAGCAACCGGACACAGTGTTCTCAGCCGAAGCCAGTCGGGAACTGGCCGGCGAACCTGATGGTAGGGCAGACCCCGACGAGCCCACCGAAGCGCCCGCATTGCCTAACAGTCCCGTGCCGACGATGGACCCACGGCCGTCTTTCCTTCACGGCATGATAACCGACATAATGCCTTCGAAGCCGGCCGTACCAGAGAAACCAAAGCTGCCTACAAAACCAGTGATTAAACAAACGACCAAGAAGAGTACGACCGTGTCCCATCAGATCATGCATTTTCACAACGTGAAGAAAGACGGCGAGGAGAAAGCTAGATATTTAAACGAAGAGAAAAACCATGAGATAGTAGAAGTGCAAGAACGAAAGAGTGAATCTCTATATTACGCTAAACCGGTGTTGACCAAACAAGACAGTGAAACGTCTCTCAGCAGTCTGAACAAGCGGAAAGCGCCGACGCCACCGCTGTCGCCAACGGAGGAATACCCAAACTTGTACCAAAGAAATCCCAGCGGATTCATGAAGTCCGATTCGCCAGTCGTACGCGAATTGGAGAAGAGGGAGAGGGCGGTTATGTCGTCTACTCCGAAGACGAAGACCACAGAAGACATAGACAGGAGAGACCCACAGCCGGAGCCGGCGCCAAGACGTAGCATATCGCTGTCGCACGACAACCTTCTGTTGGACGAGAAGCGAAAAGGCAAACTGAAGTTCTCCATAAAGAAGCTCCTTCGCATCGGCTCCTCGAAGGATTTGGACAAGAAAGAGCTGAGCGTCGCGACAGTCGCTAAAGTGGCTAGCAAGCAGGAGGAGATCTACGACCTGGCGCCGAAGCCGAAGCCGCGACTCGTGATCATACACCCTCTGGACATCAACGGCTCCAGCGTCGAAGTGGTGAAGTCCAACTGCGAGATATCCGACAGTCTGCGACGGATGAGCCACGACGAGGTGTCGATATACAGCGGGAGCAGTTCGGTAACTGACGCCGAAGCGCCCAAGGTTCAGAACAAGCCGCCGCCGCCGCCCAGGCTCTCCAGCGAGGATGCGAACTCCTCCGTCGCCAAGCCAGCCCGCCCGCCACCACCTAAGTCGGCATCTTTACAGAAGAAGCAGAAGCAGCAAGCTTGGGTTCCGACACCGACTAAGACCGACAGCATATATGCCAATTTGGGTAAGCCACGCGTAATTATTAGAAAGTCACCCCCCCGTCACAGTTGTTTTTGTCTTTATCAGATGTTGTGACATCTATTCTCATCATCTACCAACTCGACAAATGCTACTGCTTTTTATAGCTATATTAAGAAGCAAGCCACTTCTATTGGTTCGAGGTTCGAAAGTTAAGTAAAGTAACAGCCTATACATGTCCCACTGCTGGGCAAAGGCCACCTCTATACAGAGGGTATCAGGGCATAGTCCACGACGCGGCCCCACTGCGGATTGGAGGACTCACATATTTTCGAAATATTTTTTTGTTATTATTTCGAAAATATAAAGGTTTCCTCACGATATTGTCTGCACCGGTGAGCACGTGACAAGTCAGCACTTTAAATTACCAATTCATTTGTGCTGGCACCGGAGATCGAATTCGGGTTGGTCGAGTATATTAAATTAAAGGCGAGCGCCCGCACACTGAGCTATCACGGATTTCGAGGTTCGAACGCGTTACGAAATATCGCGTACTAACACTACGTTTACAATCTAGCCACAGACAATCATGTTTTTTGCATTATAATTATCTTAAAATAGTTTGTGAATAGAATGTAGAATAGACACACTACATAGCCATTGGCCGAACAGACCGGATTGTAGGCCCCAATTCCTTATAGATACGTATAATTATTGGTCGTAAAAGTTTATTAACCTGAGCCATTCCGTCATCGGAATGTTGGTAATAAATTATTCTTAACGCCCTAGCAAATCATGATACGAGACTGTTTTGTCAAATATTGTCCGATGTCGTTTCTAAAACTGAGAATAAATTCAAAACGCTAATCGCTCCACCTCCAGGTGGTATATGACGTTATAGCTTTTACGAATATATTAATTAATATAATTAAAAAAAAAATCTGTATCCGCCGCGTTTTCTATGGAACACCTCAGCCTATATATGTCCTACTACTGGCAAAGGCAAAGGGCCTCCTATGTACAGAGGCTATTTGAGCATAGTCCACCACGCGACTCCACTCGCAGATTAGCGGACTTCACATGTCTTCAAAATATTTTTTTGTTATTATGAAGGTTTTCTCATGATGTTTTCCTTCATGGCTGAGCAAGTACTAAGTCATCACTTAAAATTAACAATTTCATTACTTGCATCTATTGTTCACTGTCTTATCAACACCAACCCGGCTGTATCTTTTGAAAAGTATACAGCTAACTCTGTCCATTAATTAAAGAGCTCATAAAATAACGTTTTTACTACCTTGTGCTTTAACTGCGGAACTAATTGGCCGTTCTGTTAATTCAAAAGAACGACCCGTTAAGTTGATTACACACTAGCAAAACGGTTCGCAGTAAACGTAAAGTCACCCCTATCCCTTCCAGGAGAGATCAGATCGGCCCTCGCGCCCAGGAAGCCCGGAGCGGACGGCCAGCATGCGAGAAAGAGACAACCATCTGGAGCTGCTGAAGAGACGGACGCCGCTCGACGACAAAGACGACGCCGACGAGCCGACCGAACTGGTGCAAGCGACCAACGACGCCGTCATCCACAGCTACGACGACGTCTACAACACTGGCAAGTACGAGGAGAACAGCGACGAGGCGAAGAACAGCGATAGCGACTACGAGTACGTGCACGCGCGCTCCAGCTCGCCGGAATGCGACGGGGGCGGGGGGAGAGTGGCCGAGGGGGCGGTCGAGACCGGAGGCGCGGTCTCGAAGATCGAAGACTACTCGACCGCCGGCGGGTTCCGCTCCTCGCTGCCCTACTGCGGGAGCGAGACGGAGTCGGAGATATACTCGCCGTACAGCTTCTACAGCTCGAGCGACGCGGTGGACGCTAGGGACGAGGACTATAGAGGCGACGCCAGCCCGAAGGCCACCACGAGCAAGCTCCGCGTGAGGAAGGGGAGGAGCGTGGTGCACAAGAACCTCGAGGACAACTACGGCGCGGTCGTTATCGCCAACCATGAGGCACTGGCTCAGGTCCTGGAACAGGTGAATAACAACTCCATTCCTTTTTGCTGCATTTCTCTTATCTCCTTTAGGGGCAAAGGCGTGGCGGATTTAAAAATTTGCTTCCAATAGGCCGTTCAATTTTTGTCGCACCTACCGACCTTTGAAATTATATATATGATACCTAGGGTTTAATTTGCAAAAATATTTCTCATCTAAAAAAAGGTCAATCATGTTCTAACGATCCGGTTAATAATGACAATGAAATGAATCAAGTTATTCAAGGCTCGTTTTCTCTATGTAGTATAATGATATTTTCATTAATTTTCAAATTTGCGGCCCTAGCCTACTTAGCCTGCTGGTAAATCCGCCACTGGGCAAAGGACTCCTCTCCTAGATTATTAGGGTTCTCATTCTGGGGCATGTCATAGCTAAAATTATAGTCATACCTTTTTGATGTTACCGAGATATGTGATTTTCTTACTACACCGGCGATATGTTTCTGTGCCCCCAATTGGAATAGTATTTTTTGTAATTTCGGATTACATATGCGACAAGTTGACCCCTTTTGCCAAATGCAGAATGGAGATTCGCTTGCAAAACAACCAGCCGGATCATTAATTAGTTAATTCACACCCGAATATGTTTCTCGTTAATCACTACGGACGTAGTCGTCAATGATATTCAGAAAACAAAAGATCGAGCGAAGAACTACTTAGGAGCATTGATAAACGTGCTTTATTTAACAACTTGTTTCCTCTGATCTTCTAAATCGATCTATTATAACAAATGGCATCGAGAAAAACTCGGGTCGAATGGTACCGATCGTTATATACACAGATTGAAACAAAGTAAGAATTTTAATAATCTTTTCATTGCGGTTTGTTTCTTTTTTATTTATATATTAGTGCATTGATAAAATATATACATAATATTTATCTGTTTTAACGTTGTTGTTTTAAAAATTAAATTACAATTAATTAAAAATTATCAGCGGTGTTAATTTTAACAGAGAATTTGTTTCTTTATGTACGCTACTGGAAATGTTGATGATGAATATGTTGAATATTGACGATGAGTAAATAGATGTATTATCCTGAATACTATATGAGAAAGAAGTTATTTGAATAAACGTAATTTTTGATTTTTCTGACCTTGACATTATTTGATAAAAGATTATAATTATTGGGAACTTTAATTAAGGATAAATTTTTGCATTCGGTCAACATTTTAAAGTAAACTTAGTAATTGAAACTAGTATTACTACTACTACTAGAAAATAGTATTACTTCACTATTTTTGAGTAATTTTTTTTATTCTTCGGTAATAACCTGCCACCTTTTCAACAATTAAAATATTTGAATGGTAGAGAATGTCAAGGTATTTATTAAGTCCGTCCATTGTAAGCCGTAAGGTGAAGATATAAATAATTATTTATACTTCATAAATAACTATTAATATATTTTCCTTCATTATTCTGTTTGATGGGATATTGGTCATTCTCTTATCACTTGATATTTTCCTGTTTCATTTATAACAAATTTACAGACTCGAATCAGAGTAAAAACATGTTATTCATACATAACATATAAACACGGTCCTTAATATTTCTTTCTTACTTCAAAAGACGAAAAAAAATTTACTATTAAAATACAATAATGAAAATCGAAATAAAATCATGTCTTCTTCGCTTTTATTTTTCACTATTGGGTATATTATTTGATAAGAATAAAAGATTAAGGAAAGTTGTAATATCCTGATCCTGTATGATTGAAATATTATACTATTCTATTATACTATTCATCTCATAAAAGGTCCGAATCGCCTGCTCGCTTGCCAACCTTTAATATAAACCATTAAAAATATAAACAGGTATAATGATTATCATAAATAATTTTGTATAATCAGTTATTTCCCCCCATAATCTCGTGTCTTCCGTCCCGGTGACTAGCAAGTCGCTATAGATTCCTCTTGATAGTTATCACCTATGTCTGTTAGTTGGGATTTTACAAAATCAATCAAGTTAGTCAACTTCACAATGAATGTTTTACATCAGAAATTGAACCAAAAGTACAAATCGCAGGTCCAGCAGAGCGCCACCATGCAGCCCTCCCTCAGGGGGCTGAAGGCGTGCACCAACCTCAGATGGGGCGACTTCACGGTGCAGCCCCAAAGCAAAGGCCTGGTGAAAGCGGGCAGACGGGTGTTCCACCCGGCCGTGTGGAACTCCAGCCAGGGGCCGGTGAACGTGACGCTGATGCTGCACAAGGAGCAGATGGCCTCGCAGATCGTCTGCCAGCAGTCGGTGCAGCCCCAAACGCTGAGCCTCAACGCCATCACGGAGTTCTGTGACCTGGTGCCGCTGCAGCAGTTCGGCGAGGAAGGCGAGGAGTTGGTGCAAGGTTAGGACCATGAAGGATTCTTTGCATGACTATCAGTGTTAGGGTTTCGCTCCATTTATTTAGTGTTATCTTCTTCCATAACCGCGTTTCTGATGTTAAAGAAAATGTTTATTGTGGTACAACTAGAGAAAGCGTGTTAATAAAAAAGATAATGCTGGGTACGTTATCTTTTGTTGTATAAATGCGCTGATCCGATCCCGAGGGAGGGTCACCCATCACAGTGAAAACCGGCATGAAGTAGAACTACAACAGATGTCCACTGAATAAAGAAAAACGGGATATAGCTGACAAGATGTTGTCAGCTATATCCCGTTTTTGTCAAAATTCGTAGAAAAAGATGGACGAAAAGAAAGCTGCGGGAACCGAGCCCAACTTCATCGCCCAGACACTAACCGTGTTGTCCTATTTGATAGATGTAATCAATGATATTACATACAAATACGAGGTAGATGCGATACTAACGCACCGAAACTGAGGCTCAAATTACGACAACCGGTGTGATTAGATTGCAACTATACATACTGCTATCACCTTCCGTATAATACGTTCTACATAATCTGTCACATTCACTTATACGTGTCATATAATGCAAAGCGGAACGATTACAATATTAATCATTTATTCGCATGAACATGCATAATATAGTTGTGTCAAGTTACAATAGCCCACGTGTGTGGCAGTACACGTCCGTTAGTGTTGATCATCGAGCGTCCATGTTTGGCCGCAGCGACCATCGCGGTGCTAGGGCCGGCGCAGGTGGACACGCTGCAGTCATACGGGCGGGCGCTGAGAAGCGAGAGGGCCGGGCCCCGCCAGGAGGCGGTGTTCCTCCTGCTGCAGCTGATCAACGGACTCAAGTGGCTGCAGGCGCGGGGCGTGGACGAGAGCCCGCGCTCCCTGGCGGCCTTCGTGGCCCTGAGGGAGCATGCGCCCCCGCCCCTCGCCGCGCCCCGGAGGAGCGCCCCCCCGCCCTCGGCGCCCCCACCGCCCCCACCACCGCCGCCTACGGCCGCCTCTGCGTGCTACAGGGGTGAGTTGCGGCCTTGTAGCCTACTAACGACCCGCCCCGGCTTTACTGTACTTATAAACCTCTCTCTTGAATCGCTTCCAGTGAATGCGTAAAGATCCGTTGCGCAGTTTTTAAAGATCTAAGCATATATTGGGACAGGCAGACAATGGGACGAATTTGTTTGATACTATGTAGTGATGCTACTGTGGCATCGGTTTGATATCTTTGGCGTGGTCTTGTCCAAGGCAATTTGAACGTTTTCTTTTACAAACATAAATTTCACGAGGACAAACACCCACATGATAAACAATTATCTGTGGGTCTAAAAGATAGTTGTCCCGTGCGGGAATCGAACTATGGACCCCCGGCGCCGAAGACATTACTTTAACAACTGCAACACGGAGTCATCAAATCAACGCACCATTGACGCACGAATGGGCAGGTCCGTCCGGGTGAGTACCACGACCTCACAGAAGACCGGCGTAAAATAGAAGTGTTACACATCTGCAACCGGGCGGCGGATATCACTTAACATCAGGTGAACCGCCAGCTCGTTTGCCACTTTCTCACATAAAAAAAATCGCCGACCGTTACAGGCTGAGCGACGAGGTGAACTGCAACAAATCCGGCGAGTGCGAACACCACAGCTCGCTCTGCAAATGCGCCATCACCGCGGTCGAGATCCTGCTGCCCGGGGAGAAGCTCACGCCACTCCTCAAGGAGGTTCTGCAGGAGGAGCGGGCGATCTCCCTCAACCAGGCCAAGTCCGTCCTCGAGTTCATGCTCTGGGGCCCGCTGGACGTGGTCCAGGGCGTGCCGGTCGAAGAGCGGGAGCTCTCGCTGCAGAGGTGGCTGGACCTGGAGCGGGCGACGGTGCTGCACGGCCTGGTCAGGACGAGGGTGCAGTTGAACGTGTTCGAGCAACTCCACCTCATGTTCCTGGTGCGCTCGACGGCGAAGAACATGTGCGACGCCTCCGTTCTGCTCGAGAAGGCGAATGTGTACTGATTTGGACGCCGTCCGAGCTATAGGGCGGGTACTGTGTGCGGTTTTGCATCGTGAAGCGTTTATTTAAATCTCCGAATGTTGGTCCTTCGGACCGGATTTCGTACGTTAGTTGTTGTTTTTACTTTGAAAATCAAGTGCCTTGTTATTTACACTAGTTACCTGCAAATTGTAGATACGCGCACAATATTAGCGTCCGTCTTTAATTTAAGGGTAAACTCTAAGGCACACATGAGACTTATATTATTTTAAACGTACGACGTATTGCTTGAAATATGTGCATTAACGCAACACTCGTTATATACAAATTTGAAAAATATACATACAGTTTTTCCACATTTTGTACATTTTCAATGCATTTTATAATATGTTATTCTTGAAGACATTTAATTTCGTAGCTTTTGGCTACGAAATTAAAGAAACCGAAACCATTAACCGTGCGTTAAGCGTACATTGTAGGAATACGTAAAGCATATGTATATCCGAATATTGCAATTAAAGGAACGCAAAACGTTACGTAAACTTTTTCCCCGAACCCGCTACCTTCCAGTGCCTTCGATGTTCAGGAACTGAACCCAACATACTTACTTATTCACGCTCCCTAAACGTAATGTATTATACACGAGCTCGCTGTAAATTTAATGTGTAATTTATTTTATATCTATAAATATTTTATTAGCGATCGGTTAAACGATTAGCGTAAGATGCAAAATGTTTATCATGTTAATCAGTCGTTTAGCTTTAAGCATTCATCGAATATAAATAAAAAGTTTCTTATTATGAAATCTGTTCTCGTTTTATTTAAGTCTAACAAATTCATTTTTTACTTTGTGATGCTGCCCGCCAAAAAGGTTATCAATCAAAGTGACATATCCATTATAGCATATTATTGTTTTGTTGTGTTTCGTTTTAAGACAGATTATGGTAATATAAATGTACTGAGGAGTTACTGCAATTCCGAACCATATCAATACGGGGACATTTCACCTATCAAGACGAAAATGTATACAATATAAAAACCTCAAAATTAAAAAACAAAACGAGCTACACACAACACTTTTTAGGGTTAAGCTCGCCTTTTTACGTTTGTTTTTAACCTTAACTTTGGATTTTCTATTTTATTTTGTGTACACTAAAGAATAAAGAAAACGTGTTTCGTGTGGGTATCAAAGGTACGAACCCGACGAAGTCGATGGCTAAGAAACTGCGCCGCCGTGTCAACCTTTTGCTTACTAATCTTTATATACATAATTCTTCTGTACGTTTGCATGTCACTGAACTCCCCCTTAACGGCTGGACCCATTTTAATGAAATTTTTTGTGTGTTCAGGTGGATTCGAGAATGGTTTATATTCACAAAGTTATTAAAAAAAGTTTGAATTTTCGAATTTAAGACGTCTGTACCTGACTTCGTCTGTCTGGTCCGCTAATAAATATAGTTTTTTTTTTAATACACGTTCTACATACAAAACAAATATCGTGGTATTTTCTAGAACATTCTTATTTCTTAACTTGCCATAAAGCTGTAAGTAAGCCGTGCACTTGCAACTTCAACAAGTTAAAACCATATAGGAGATAAATGAGAGAGGTTATGCTCTAAAATTAGTTTATTGTCTCATCTTCATAACACATGATACAAACAATATTTCTGCTATAAGTGACAAATTAAAAGAGATAAAATAGCAATATAATAACGAAGAAAGAAAAAGTTGTGTTCGAAAAATAAAGACTAGAATTACAGAAGTAAAAATGCTTTTGTTTAAGGTAAACTAATGCGCTTACAAAATATCAAAATGTTAAATGTTAAATAATACAATATTTACGGATTTTATCATCTGTCCAGTTCAGTAAAATTTTGAAATTGTAACATAATTTAAAATTAAAATCTATAAATTCTTAAATATAGTTTCCCGTTAACAAATTGCATCTTAAATAAAAAAATATGCGATGGCACTATGTGAATCAGATCATAATCGTCGATTGCAAAATAAAAAAAAAAAAACATTAAAAAACTTAATCTTGAAAAGTAGGTATAAAAGAGAAAATTATTTAAAAAAAATTAGGAATTTATTGAACTTAAAAGTTTAAACACTTATCCTTACTACAAACATAATAAGAGCAAGATGCTTTTTGAAGTTATACTTCTTTGGTGCTTTTCGTAAAAATTATGAAAGTAAAATTTTTACGATGCGCGCGCACACCGACTGAGAAAAAGCGACATAATGAAGTTGATTACAATGCGACCAAGTTCACGTTATTATTATTTTTTTATTCCATATTAAATTAAACCAATCAATTGCATTTAATTTCTTTTTCGCAAAGTTTTTGTTATTTTTCTTTTATTATGCTAAAGAAGTACTTACTTCTTACGTGCTTACATAAGTACACACATATTTTTTTTTTACTAACTTTTAGTAACCAATCGCTTTCATTGGTTTCATTTACAGAAAAAAAAAATTATAAAAAATGTAATTTAAATCAAAATAATGACTGAAAACAGTATAATGTAGCGTTATAAGAACTCTGTAGATATAAAAGTTTTGGAATGTTTACAGGATAGATTGATAAATAAGTAGTTGATAAAAAGATATACCTATATAATAATGTAAAATACATTACATGCATAACAAATTTCAGTAACTGTTTGATTAACAAAAATATCCTATACATTAACCAATTTCCCACGGATGCTTAACAACGTAGTGTTTTGTATATATCAGAACACTTTCTAATGAAAACGAGAAAAAGTAAATATAAAAACAAAATTTGGTTCATATATCAAATATATATATGTATCATCTTCTAGGTTTTCTTTACTTCTTTAGGAACTCATAAAAACATAATATATGTATTACAATAAAACGTCAAAAACCAATACTGCAACATCATATACCGAATTTATAAACATTACAAATTCATTTCGTTGTCAACTTTCCATCGATCGGGACACTTATGTATGATAATCAAATCGATCTCTTTACATTAGCTTTCTTCATAGCATTTTAAGTGCGCAATGTTATATTGGTGAAACAACCATACTATTTATTCGGCTCAGTTTGGTATTGTTAAATTTGCTGTTTTCCTTCCCGTGTCTTATATTTTACAGTTATAACTATAATAATGAAATCAGAACTAACCGCAAAAACGATGAAAAGACGTACAAAGCCCAAAAATTTCATTGAAAACTATTTAAAAATTTAAGTTTTAATTATGCAATATCACTTCGATCGTAATTATCGAGCTTTCACCACATATTTGAATAAAAACAGCTTCATTATAAATATCGATTCGATGATATTTCAAAATCAACAATAGAATAAAATAAAAAAAATAGCTTGTCTTATATGACAATAAGCGCAGATCTTTCAAATAAAACTCCGTGTTTTGGAGGAACATGCTACCATATTAATACTATGAAATACTATACAAGCCAAAAGAATTAATACTCCGAAAGCGAGAAAACCACAAAACGATGTTCCAAAAATAACTAGTATTGCTCTTAATTTTAAAATAATAACCCAAAACTACTCTACATAACACTTATACAAATACAAATATTGAGATGTGTCTATGGAAATGAACAGTAGAGGAATGAAATCGCACCTTTAGAATTATAATGAACTATTTAAAAATATAAATATTAAGGAATTGTAAAATAAGTGCAGATTTGTGCACTTATGAACAAACGCTGTGATTGGAGGGGAGTGAAAGAGACCGAAGTATATGCTATGTAGCTTTCCACGCCAAAATCGGTACTTGTTTAAGATACGAAATAGGTAATCGTTTTAGGAGGTCATTTCCTGACATAATGCCAAAATCATGATTTTCTTAATAATGCCCATTTAGTTCTAAAGGCGCGAAATATTTTACTTATTTCTTTATAATTACCTCTTCTAAGCAAACTTGCTAGTACATAGCTGTAATCCTATCTTCTTTAACTGTCTTTAAGTCTTTAATATTCTTATGTGTGAACATAAAACATAAGATACAGAAGAGACAATGCTACATTTGTCCATTTTACCACTTCTATGTTAGATAAAATGGAATAAATTAAGATCCGCAGATTTCCATTTAAATTATAAAATTTTTAATTTATTTAATTTAAAATTCAACATCAAAAACCAAATCCTACTCTCTACAGATCCTTATTTCAAAAATGAATCAAGCAGTAAATTTATTGTTCACAATAACTATAAAACTGATAACTATAAAAGCTTAATGTAGGGTAATTTTAATAGTTCCAAACCACTGGAAAGTATATCGCCACATGATATTTCTTTCTATGTATTCTATATTCTACACCATAAATTCCCAGTGATAAGTGGATATTTAACAATACTTTAATACAGTGTAAACTCTCACGACATTCTAGGTATATTGTGCACAATTTAAACACTGTCTATCGATATTCTTCTTGGAACAATATATTTTAGTATAGACTTTCGTGTTAAGTATATAATATAGACTCTTTTTATAAACGTAGTCAAATGATACATCTTAGCTAAACAAACAATGTCGGAAAAAATAACAGTGTTTATTATAGTGACTTTTGAAATTGACATGTCCTAAAATGTACTCTCAACTAAAAAAAAAACTTTCATCTGTAATTTTTTTTTGTTTTCCTTATTTTTGTGTCAATTCTCGTATAATTTATAACAGAAGAAAATAACTGTATACCTTTTGTAATAACAGAGTTCACATATATTATATATTTCAATTAACTGTTAGTTGTATGCACTCTAGGGAATTGTTTTGTTTTTTAAGGATGTAAAAAAGATTGCTAGCATTTTTTACAACCTCGTTTACAGTTAATTCTTAACGACTATAGTAGTTTACAGGCCTTTGTTGAAGTAGACGTATTGAGGCGGCTTTCCGTCGGTGTTTTTTAATATCTCCTCGTACTTGTCCTTTTCGAAACGCTTGATCGAGTCTATCGAGAGTTTGCTGGGGGGAAATTCGTTTTTCATTTGTTACCCACGCATCCAATAAGCCAGTGATTCTCAACCACTGTGCCGCGGCACTTTTGTGTGCCGCCAAATTTCAAGTGTGCCGTCAAATTTTGCAAATATATAATATTAAATTTATTAAATATTATTAAATTATATCATTTAAAAAGAAAAATATTTTTTGGCATTAGCGAACATTAAAACTAAAAAAAGATCAAGATTGTTAAATGTAGAAGACGATATGAGAGTAGCATTGTCATTTTTACGACCAAATAAATATAAATGAAATTATCAATAAAACATCAAGCTCAAATTTCGCATTAAAATATTTTTATTATTAGCTTGTAATTAATCCCTTAATAAACGTTTAGTTATTATTGTAGTAGATATTAGTTTATTTCGTATATTTAAAATTTTTGTCATAAACTATTTATGCAGTGTGTTGTAGTAAGTAAATATTTTTTATCTTTTTCTTTGTGTGCCGCCAAATTTTGAAATCTTTAAATATGTGCCGCAACAAAAAAAAAAGGTTGAGAATCACTGCAATAAGCACTGACACTAAGGCCCGTTCTCACCATCGATCCCTAACTTTAAGGGACACCTAAAAATATTTATGTGCTAGATTCGTTTTCGCCGCCGCTTAGGTGTCACCTAAAGTGTTACAACGAAACTGGCACTTGTTTTTTAGGTGTCCCTTAAAGTTGGGCATAGGAGTTTCAAGTGGTGAGGTGCGTGGCACAAGTGCGGTTGCAAACGCGCTGGCCAAGCGTGGCAACTATGACAAAACTCCCCTAATGATTCAGAAGAAATGGGTTAGGCCTGTGTTCAGCAGTAGACTTAAACAGGCAGAAAATGAATGAGAAAGAGAATGATGTTGTAATATATCTACCATAAATGAACTATCATCGAGTTTTGAATCGCATTCTGGTACAGCATACAGTTGTAGATAATAATATAGAAATTTATATGTAACAATATCGAATAGAATTGTACAAAATAAGTCAAATGTTAACAATCTATTATGTTCTTCTTTTTTGTTCTTTTTTTAAAGAAACAGTGCCCTTACTTTAGAATAACATTATCCTGTGTTGTAAGTAAAATTTACAAACATAAATTTCACCCTGATTCGGAACAACTATCTGTGGGTCGCACAAATAGTTTTCCCGTGTGGGAATCGAACCCACGCCCCCCGACGCCGAAGCGAATACCTTGGCAACAACGCCACGGAGTCATCAGTGTGTCATATGTGGCGCCCAAAAAATTCAGAGACTACATGAAAACCGATAAATAATTGGCGAAAACCAGTCTGTCAACATATATTGCTGCTATAATTACGTTTTAACTATAAAATTGTTTCATCGTTCAGTATTCTCGTTTTAGTACAAAGCCTATGTCCAGCAGTGGACCGAAACGGGCTGAAATGGCGAAAGTTGATGATGTTGTGTTTCACTCACCATCTTTGCGGGAACAAAGCGCACCCGGTGGGCACCATGAACGTCAAACTGAAAACAAGCGATTGTTCAGTACAGTTGCAAATTGTTATAGAAAAATACCAGCTCTGAAATTTATTTATCGTATTTTGTATCGTATAACAATAAATTCTCAAATATATGCAATGTAATGTTATAAGTTAATAATTTAGTTTGTCACAATTCACAAAATATAATTGACACTACGTCAGGGCCGGATTTAGGGGAGGGCAATCGGGGCTACAGCCCTGAGGCCTCCAGATCTCTAGATCCGGCCATTTATGGCTAGTCACAAGGTTAAAATTGATTGATAAAAAAGATTCAAAGTTACCTTTTTCTTATGAAAAAACGACAATTTTTTTAACTTTATTACCAAAGACTCGTTTAACTTACTTTGAACTGTTCGTTATTCAGCTAAAAGAAGGTTAAGTTAGCGATCGTTACAAATTGGTAAAAACCATTAAATTAACTTGATTAATGCTAAACTTATTCAAATTTAGCAATACACCTCAAAACATCTTAACAGAACATCCTACTTTATTAACGTATCGGTATATCTTTAAAACAAATCGAAGCCGAATCCGTCTAGCGGGTTAAGTCTAACTATATATAGTCTTAATAACTCACAACATACTCATACTAATTCACAACTCATAACGACTCATGATAACTCACAACATGCCGACGATGGCGGTCTGCACTAGAATGTGGCCCCTCTTGATCCTCTGCATCCAGGGCTTGGGTTCGATCTTCTCCATGATGACGGGCAGCAGGAGCATCCCAGGAGCGCACATCACGATCCTGGAGGGAGACATGTTAGATATTTACTTAACAAAATAACTAAACTATTGTTATTTATGTCTATGATTGTATCCATGATATTGTATATAAAAAAAATATATATAAAAGTTTACTCAATTTGATCGATTCGTTAATTGTACAATTTTAAATTAAATAAAAAATGGTCCAAACTACTCTCTTTTGACGTTGCAAAGTTTTGGCGGGAAATTAACGCAGCAATTTTCCTCATTTCCAAGTTAAATTTATAAATAACCTCTTAACAGATTTCTCCCCAGCATTCATTTATTATTAGAAATTTAATTAAGAATTAGAAAACCGATTGAAATCCACACCTGGAAGTGACGACTTGTGATATTCCCTTTATAGGCGCCAACTGAGATTTTCCGATGACCTTACCATTCTCGTCCGTCACGTCTAAACCTGCACAGATACAAAAGCTTTTAATACATCTTGAAAATAAAAACATTAACAGAGAGTTATTTTTTATAACACACGTAACTTATACTTCTTTAATGTAACAAAAGAGAAATAACCAAAAATTTTATCTCCCCTGTGCCAGTACTCTGTTTGTGAAAAAGACATTAAATACAATTGATAACTGTTCAATTTAATAACTCGAAATTATAGGTAAATTCCAAAAGGTTATTGGTTGCCATGGTAATACCGCGAAGGTAGTTTCGGCTGTCGGTATTTTACTCTCATATTTTTTTCCAAACGCACCAAAAGTATAACTTCAATAAGAAAATACGCCATATTACGGAAAACCAAAACAAACTTCATCCACGAACCAATTAGCGATTGTGATGGCTTTTTGGGTCAAGCTTTACCAAAAAAATTATAACCTATTCTCTCTCTATTCTGACAGCGAAAGACGGCGCGATGGTATTTACAAAATTAGTTTTAATCTTAAATAATTTCCGTAATCTTTTATAAATAAATTTGTTTTAATCTAAATATAATATTTACCTTTTTTCGGTCGGCTGACAAGACATTTATTATTAAGCGTAAGCTTGCAAGAAAATTGAAAGAAAACAAATATAATTAATAAGTAGATTAACGGCCTTTTGGATTGATAACGTACCGAGGAGGATTTCGTTCTGCCTCATGAGTGGAATGTTTACCCAGTTGGCGGCCGCCACCGCCACGAATGGCACGAATCTCTGCAAGTGATCTTAACATTAAAGGCCCATTTACACGATGCCATTTTCTTAAACATACAAGAGCAATAATTGAATGCAATAAATTGCGCGCAATAATTGTTTAGACCATTTCTTGTTTAGACCATGCAACTCATTTATTGCTTCAATTTAATTGTATACAACAGGCGCCGGTGGTCGTGGGTTCGATTCCCACGCGAGATTTTTTTGTTTTTTTATTTAGAACTGGCCAGCACTTGACTGCCATCCAACCTGATGGTAAGTGGCGATGCAGCCTTTCAAGGTAAGCGCGCTAGCTCAGTAAAAACCTTTTCACTCATGCGTTGAAGACGCCTACAGTTAGTATTTGTGCGATCCATAATTAATTTTTGGTACAAATAGGGAACCGCCAGTACGTTTGCCAACTTTTCACACAGCATACAAACAGGTCGGTGCTGAAAGATCGCAAATCGATGATATTCTCACCGCCGATGGGGTTGGTGGCTTGTTTCTGGATCATGAACTAGAAGGTGAGGGCCGACTTAATTGTCTTTCCGATATCATAACCTATCACATTTGGCGCTCGCTTGCTAAAATTTGCACATAAAACAACATAAGAGCAGCTTGGTGGCCCAAAAAACTTCTCTTCAAATCTTTATAGTGATTTAATTAAAAAAATGGAAAAAAAAAACACGAATCGGAGGCGTCTTCACCGCCAGTATGGGGCTGGTGAGGCGTTTCTGGATCACGAACTAGAAGGAGAGGGCCGACTTAATGTCTTTCTCGCTCGCTCAATTGTTGCACACAAAAAACGACGTACGAACAGGTTGGTGGCCCAAAAAAAAGAAAAAATAAATGAAAAAAAAAAAAGACGGATCGGGGCGTGCTCACCGCCAGTATGGGGCTGGTGGCGCGTTTCTGTATGACGAACTTGAAGGTGAGCGCGGTCGACATGGCGGCCGTCATGGCGGACACGTACGCGACGCCCATCTGGCCGGCGCCGAGCGGGGCGTTCGCGTTGCGGTTGGTGTAGTTCACCAGCGCGTTGAACGACTGGTTCACCCACTGCCAGAACACCACGGCGGTCGCCGTCCTGCCGACGGGCTTCGGTGAGCGGGGCGTGTCCTTTTCGGAGCGAAACTCCTGATGCGATCCAGCCAGGTTGCGTTAAACGTTCAACGCTACCATGCAGGGAGTGTGGGAGCACTGTTGCGTTAAACGTTCAACGCTCCGGGGGACGGGGGAATAGAAAGAGACAGGAGAGTAAATGCGTGGGACTCGGAGTTTCACTTCTTCGGCGCGGAGGGACTCCACGTTATTTTCTTTTTTCCACGGGTGCAACGTATTATACATATAAACCTTCGTCTTGAATCACTGTATCTAGTAAAAAAACCGCATCAAGATCCCTTGGGTAGTTTTAAAGATCTAAGCATAAATAGCGGCTGGACCGATTTTAATGAAATTTTTTTGTCTTCAGGGCGATTCGAGAATGGTTTAGATTCACAACTCGTTTTTGTTTTTTTTTTTTGGATATATATATATATATATATATATATATCCCTAGTACATTATTTTGATCTATCTCATGTCGTCTAACAGTGTACACTGTTGCACGAATGGTCAGGTCCGTCCGGGTTAGTACCACGACCTCACAAAAGACCGGCGTGAAGTAGAAGTGTTACACTTCTGCGTTCCGTCTGGTGAGTGCGGTAGCCGCGGCCCACATTATTAAGGTGTTGCAAATGTCCGTGAGCGGCGGTTATCACTTAACATCAGGTGAACCGCCAGCTCGTTTGCCACTTTCTCACATAAAACGCGTTACTTTAAAGGAATGCACAACTTCCTGAACCATAGGTGAAACCATTTACCTGTACCACTGCAGCATCGCGCCGGTTACGAGGCAGCCACCTGGCATCTGGAAGGACATCCTGCCGAAGACATTCTGCAGCTCACCGCTGTCAGGGTGGAAGGCAGACTCGTACAGTTGTTTCGCCCTGACCACTTCGGCCATGGTGGTCCCGGCTGGCTCTTGGCCCGCTCTGAAGAGTTCAATATAGTTAATCGGATCAATAATTAATGCCCGGTTCCTATATTTAACGAACGGCCGTCAGTTACATAGGTTCGTAACCTTCATAAGAAAACAACACGTTCGAAAAATTTATTTCGAATATGTTGTTTTTGACGGTATTCTGAAGTTTATTTGAGACAGTAAAGCTGGACAATTGATATCACCAGTACAGAAGTTTCTAAGAGTGGAAGCGTCTATTAGAGAACGTCGATCAGTCAAGGACAGCATACATCTTTTTAAGAGATTTTTATAGGAATCACTGGGACAATGCATATGATAATTAAGCATACGTAGGAACTGTGCCTACTGTAGGGGGTGCAGTCGCTATAAAAGCATTGAAGCTACTATGAGCCGAGATTATCGAACGGCGTAGAGCACTTCATAGTACAAAGTTACAGAATCCTGCTTTGTAACTTTTGGCTTTTAAGTCCAGAAATGACCTAATGCGGTCGGTAATCACGCTGTTGCACAGATAATCTCCCGATAAGAAACATTGATTATTAATATTTCAATCATCCTTCGAATCTGTACCAGTTATGTACCAGTTATGAGTTTTAAACATAGAATACATAGAAACATAAACATAGTTTTAAAAATAGAGACAGCGCAGTAACGCCCGTTTTCTGAAACACTGATCATCGTAGAAATTAACTAATCAGCTGTCATTTGGCTTGCATAAAGGATGGTTAAACTCTTTAAATTGATCATTCTGATCATTAAGATCATTCTGAATGTAAATGTTTAATACAATTTTAAAAAGTTATCCTCTATATTTGTGTTCATTTATTGTCGCGATTGTAAAGACACGCGGTATACAACGTGGCGTTACTATCACGACCTTTAATAAACACACATATAGAGGATAACTTTTCAATATTGTATTAACCATTTACTTCCATTTAACGTCAATATTTACCTAGTTATTTAATCTTACAAAACAAATAATTTTAGATCACCCTACGCATAAAACTGTAACATTTGTAAAGGTCACAAACTATATGAATTGGTTGAATGGGTTTAAAAGAGATAAAACATACTATTAGAAGGAGAGACATGCAACGCAACGTTGTGTCAATAAATGAAAACGTCTCTGAATGTATGAATCACTATGTTGTAGATTTTACAAAGTTTTTTTCTTTTTTTATTTAATTAACTTGTTTGAAAATTGTTCTTTTTAAATATGGATTTTTTAACGTTTATATTTTTTTATGATTATGGGCAAGTAGCGTTAGAAGTGTTCATTTAAGGTAGCGGTTGTAACACCTCGCTGCATAAGTTCCCGGTAACACAACATTAGCGATGAAAGATACAAGTGGCGACATCTATTGATAATGTACATGTACTGTGACGCGTTCTCAGTTGTAATAACGCGTGGGTTAAAGCTCTGTGTAAATATACTCACTTGTACTTCATATACAGATCCTTGGCTTCGTACAGCTTCTTATCAGGCACGAAGGTGAGGAGGGGGTTCGATATGAAGGCGAAGTGGCGGAAACGGCCGACAAACGTACTCTGATCCCACAGAGGCTGGGTGATGTCTATCCTTTTCTCCGTAGACATTGTCTGTGGGGAAACATAGGACAGTTCTACTTGAAATATTTACCCTGTTGTAGTGCTACGTCAAGTAATCGCTGTTGCACGAATGGAAATATTTACCCTGATGTTGTGCTACGTAAGTAATAGCTGTTGCACGAATGGAAATATTTACCCTGTTGTAGTGCTACGTAAGTAATCCCTGTTGCACGAATGGAAATATTTAACCTGATGTTATGCTACGTAAATAATTGCCGTTGAACGAATGGAAATGTTTACGCTGCTGTAGTGCTACGTATGTAATTGCTGTTGCACGAATGGAAATATTTACGCTGTTGTAGTGCTACGTAAGTAATCGCTGTTGCACGAATGGAAATGTTTACGCTGTTGTAGTGCTACGCATGTAATTGCTGTTGCACGAATGGAAATATTTAACCCGATGTTGTGCTACGTAAGTAATCACTGTTTGCACGGATGGAAATATTTACCCTGTTGTTGTGCTACGTAAGTAATCGCTGTTGCACGAATGGGCGGGGAAATGTAGTACCAGAAGACCGGCTTGAAGTGGAAGTGTTACACTTCAGCGTTTCGTCCAGTGAATGAGGTAGCCGGGTATTTAGGGGTGTTTTAAATGCCCACTAAGCGGCGGTTATCACACAGCATCCTGTACGCCGCCAGATCGCTTGCCACCTTCTCACGTTAAAATAAGGTAAAAACCCACCTTTACGTTTTTAGCGCTTGTACCATTTATCGTGCAATGGTTACAGACGCACAATAAAGATAACTTGTGTTGAATCTTATCTATTGCTTCATAGTTTGCATTGTTTTGAAGTGCAAGGGTACAATATTTTACGCTCGCATCATAACTATTTACCGCTTACAACACGTGAATCATGTTGTAAGCGGTTTTTGATTTTGGCTATGATTTTTACGACCGGTCAACTGTGGGTCGCGCAAATACCTTTCCCGTGTGGTAATCGAACCCACGAACCCCTACGCCGCAACCAATAGATTAGCAACGCCACCGAGTTTAAGAATTGAAAAGAAAAAAAAAACTTGTTAATACAAAGACAATAATTAAACGTTATGATTAATGACCATAAGCACTGAACTAGTGTAGAAGACATCTTGAGGATATGTGTATGCATTACAAAAATATATACATTATAAAAAAAATCGAAAGGAAAAAAAATCTGCAGACGCGTGACAGACCTAACAGGGATAGAATTTTGACTAAAGTATTATGGAGCTAATGTCAAATATCTATACCTCTAGTAACCAAATATATCTGTAGATAAAATATTGAAAGCGGCCGTAAATTCTCCACACAAAATCTTTTCCCAGCGGGTCACAAGCTTTTCAACCGACTTAAAAATGAGATCTTAGTTCTCAGATCGGTTTTACGTTTTTTATATACCGGAAAAACATCAGGAATTACCTCAAAATCAAATAGAAGATGTATCGTGAGTGAGATACCTTAAGTCGAATTTTTTTTCCTAACAATGTTTACTCGTGTTTCATGAATACGTACCGTTCTATCAACACCGGGCCTCGTCAAAAGTCCAGTGAGGCAATATAACAAAGGCGCTATTTTAGACTAAACGACCTGCTCATTACGAATGTGATTAGTGGAACACTCGTAAATAATTTTGAATGCCACAGGCTATTTCAAACGTCACATTAATGGGGAAAACGTGGAAAATTGTCTACGTTTTAAAATAATTATTTTTAACTTAAATAGTTTGCTTTGCTTTGCGGTACTTAAATTAAAAATATTTATTTTTTTTATTTACTTTATTTAAACTGAATTAAAAATAATGACTAATAAGCTGTGTCTATAATTTTTTTTTAAACTTAAATTTATATCTTTTTTCTCACTTCTAAACCTATGTAACGGATTTTATACTACACATTTTATATTATTACATAAATAATAAACATAAATTATCTTTGTAACGTTATTTTTAACTTTTCACAGATATTTTAAGTTTCTTTTTTAGAAGATTTGAGTGTTTCTTTAATAAAAGTCATGGCTCCCAGCTCAGACCAATAATAAAATACTCTTTTATTGGTCTGAGGGCTCAAAACGTTCCAATAGTTGCTCTTAAAATAACTATAATAACGCGTAAATGCAATATGCATTTCCTATTGACGACCCGAACGGCGTAGTGGGTAGTGTACCTGCCTCCTGCGCCAGAGGCTGTGGGTTCGATCCCCACTACTGGAAAAATATTGTGTGATGAACACGGTGTTTTTCTAGTGTCTGGGTGTTTCTATATGTATAATATGTACTTATTTACAAAAGAAAAGTATGTTTATCAGTTTTCTAGTACCCATAGTACAAGCTTTGGTTAGTTTGGGACTAGAAAATGTTGGGTACAAATGTGTCCTAAATGTTTATTTATTTATTTATTTTCACGATGTTTAATCTAGTCCGTGGTATTTAACCGTGGTGCGGCCTCGCAAAAGCTTCGGCTGTTGTACGAATGTATGTAGGTCCATTCGAGTAAGTACCACGACCTCACAGAAGACCGCCGTGAAGTAATAGTGTTAAATCTCATCTGGTGAGTGAGGTAACCGGGTCCCACTTTATTAAAAGGCAACGCACCTGCAACCTTACGAGTGTTGCATGTCCATGGGCGGCGCTTATCACTAAGATATGGTGAACCGTCAGCTCGCTTTCCACCTTCTCACATAAATAAAAGTATTACAACAACCCAGCGGAAATTTTGTAATCTATTTTTATGTCAAGTAACTACAACTCTTACTTTGTTGTCCATACATTTCATAGCTAATGCTTTATACCTAGAGTAACAGAGTCTCAATAACAACACTGGCACAATTTATCTTCTTAATGATACAACAATCAACAATGTGCGGATTATACCGGTAAATGTTTATTATACTCAAATGCTATCATGGTTTGTACGTCACCTTAATCCATTTGACTCGCTGATGTTTTAATAAGATGACGCAATTATATGACATATATAAGTGAATGTGACAGATGATAGAGAACGTATGATACGGAAAGAGATAGCGGTCTATAGAATTCCTATCTAGTTACATCGATTGGCGTAATTTGAGTCTCTCAGGTTCGGTGCGTTCCACAGTATTCGAATTCAGAAATTCCAAAGACCGTCTGCTAGTCTGGACACGTGAATCCGGCTGTTAATAATCAGACGGTGGTCCATTATAGTGATTTATCATTTTATCTTGTTACTAGCAATATTACTGTCATTATTGCCATATGAAAGCAATAGAAGCTTGGAAAGGTTGTCGCATACAATTATACCGATGACGGTTACAAAAGTAGCCGCGATAGCTCAGTATCCTAGCGCTGTATTTTAATTCAATGTCTACCAGAGTTCAAATCCCGGTGCCGGCACCAATGAAATTGTTGATTGCAATTTTAAGGGCTGACTTATCACATCGTTAGCGGTGAAAGAACGCGACGCGAGAAAACCTGCATATTTTAGAAATAATAAAAAAAATATATATAGGTGAACTCCACCAATCCGCAGTGGGATCGCGTAGTGGACTGTGCCTTATTACCACTATACAGAGGAGGCATTTGTCTAGAAGTGGGACAATACAGGCTGTTACCTTACCGTAGGTAGTTTTACGCACTTCTTGCGTTTATTTTTTAATGTTAATTCCCCACCTTTCGAATACATTCATGCACCCAGGACGGACTGAAGCATTAGACATCAGAATTTAAATGTTAGCACGGCATACCGTCAGTTTTTAAAATTATTTTTGGAGCCGATTTGCGAAATCGAAGAGTTGGGTGAAAATAGTTTAATGACGAGATATTCACCGATATACGTCGAATAAGTATCCGAAGTTTATCTAGCCAAACAACACGTACTCCAAATCACTCCATGAGATATTAATACCGATGACCGAGCTAGCGTAGATAGAATAACACCCATCCACCAACTCCTTTTTTGTCTATACTAATACCGTATCGTTCTCCCAACATAACCTCCATAAACGACGTTACGATGAGTGTATCTTTTCCCGGATCAACTAGTATACATGCACGACACATAGATATTTTTTTTTACTATGCACATCCAATGGCTACTAACAGCCGTGTACCAATCAAAACGTCCCCCGAATCCTCATATCGAAGCTCTCACACAAAATGTTCTTTTCCAATATAAAAGATCACAAAAGATTATTGTGATCTTATATATTGGATAGTTTATATCTTTTATATTATGTCTCCAAGATTACAATAATCTTCGGCAATTTCCGTAACTATTATCACGACATCGGTATTGTTTAAGTTAGTACACGAACCAACAAGCTGGAGACATTCATTTAGGTAAGTTAGCATTTCTTGGTATCCATAACAAACCATAACGTAAATCACTTAACTCCAGTATAGGCGTATTGATAGCATTTTCCAGTGTTTAGACAGTTTCGGCTATATGACATTCCTTTTAATGCACAGGAATGTCTGTCTTTATCACATTGTCCACCCTGTGTAAAATAAATTGTGAATAGAATTTTTAATGCAACATTTTCCGCACGTATACTAGCCGTTTGGCACATTACAACACAATCAAAAATTCCACGGGCACGGCTCTATCTATACGAACTTTTGGTCATTTGTTTCTTGTATCTCCATTTGAGTTGATAAAAAGTATATTGGCTATTGACGTCAAATATGGCAATAATACATTAAAGTAACGATCTTTGTCGTGTTATTACCATAAATCAATATTATTTGTGAATGTATAGGGTGATTTTATAGACGACGGACATATTAACAGTGACTTGTGACCTCATTTTTTTTTCTTCAAAGAGTATTTTTGATTTTTTAAAACATTATAGACACCTTAAGAAATCCCTACCTTACCATCTCAATAAACGAAGAAAAACGAACATGATATTTTTTTTATGTGAGGATTTGGCAAACGAGCTGGCGGTTCACCTGATGCTAAGTGATAACCACCGCCCAGGCACATTTGCGACACCCGTAGGGTTGCAAATGCTTTACCATCTTTAAATAAAGTAGGCCCCCGGCTACCTCGCTCACCAGATGAAACGCAGAAGTGTAACACTTGTACTTTACGCCGGTCTTCTGTAAGGTCGTGGTACTTACCCGGACGGACCTGTACATTCGTGCAACAGTGAATACTGTTGCGTGGTCCTACCACAGTTAAACACAGATGTGTTACAAACAGAGGATGAAAACGTATTAAAAGTCAATTTCAAAGGAAAAAAATTACGATGCGCGCGCACACCGACAGCCAAAAAGCGACATGGTGCATAGTGCATGGTGACATGGGACATACCGTGAATTTGGTTGCAATGCAACAACAATTTTTCGGCATTTACCAACAATTCCAATTTATAACAGTTATCAATTGCATTTAATGTCTTTTTCACAAACAAAAATGGCAACGGGGTTATTTTACTTTTGTTATGCTAAAAGTAGTAAAAAGTCTTACGTGCGCATATAAGTCACATACACACACACTTTTCTGCTATTTGTTTGGAAATTACAATAAAGGTGTTAACAAGCTTCGTTCAGAAGATGAAGGCGGTGACATTTTTACTATGGCTACGCAAAAGTTTTTGATGTTCCATGTAAATACGTGGAAGCACCACGACCACGGTATAATATTCTGGCTGAATACAGGCAGAAATGTAAATATCATGACCTACTTACTCACATATTTCGCTCAGAAACACGAGGGTTTTGGGTACATTGTAAATCGTATATCAAATTGCCTAATACAAGATACAAGATCTTGTATTAACTGCCTCAGATTGCCTCAAATTGAATGAAACTACTTTAAGGATTTTATCGTGTTTTTTATTTTCGTTTTTTATTTCGAAACGTCGGGAATTTAAATCAATATAAAAAACGCGATAAAATCCGTAAAGTAGTTTCATTTAATATGTATAATATTCGCGTAAAATCAAGAAAACAATATGCATCAAATTGCCTAATTCAACTCTCTATCGTCGCAATGTTTTTTGAATTCCATGCACGAGACACAATTCTGGATCATGATCATCACGCAATGCGGTAAACCCAATAAAGGGTCAATATGGTTTTTAAAATAATCATTAATGGACAGTATTTTGAAAATTTTCAAGCAAATTTATAACAGAGGCGAAACTTGCGCAATTTGCAGTTACATGAATATGTGAGGTGTCACTGTTAATAAAACCAGGTACCTCTGTATAATCTAAGCAATGATGAGATGAAGAGTGACGTAGATATATCATTAGTTGCAGGCAAATCATAGCACATAGAGAATTGACAAAAAAATTAAAGAACAAACTGCGCAATAAGTATATATGCTTAAATGTACTTTTTCACTTCTTATTTCAGATCTGAAACATGTTTTATATTTATCCCTGTTCAAATAAAAAAAGAGCCGTGATAGCTCAGTGTCCGGGCGCTCGCCTTTAGTTCAATATACTCGAGCAACCTGAGTTCGATCCCCGGTGCCGGCATCAATGAAGTTTTTAACTTTAAGTGCTGACTTATCACGTGCTCCGCGGTGAAGGAAAACATCGTGAGGAAACCTGCATATTTTCGAAATAATAACAAAAAAAATATATTTCGAAGATATGTGAAGTCCGCCAATCCACAGTGGGGCCGCGTGGTGGACTATGCCCTGATACCCTCTGTACAGAGGAGGCCATTGCCCAGCAGTGGGACATGTATTGGCTGTTACTTTACTTTACTTTACTTTAAATAAAAAAATATAGCACCCATAGACAACAAAAATTAATTAAAAAGCTGTATGACTTGCTATATGACTGAACTAGATAGACTATACATTATCACTATTTTGTAATTACCAGTCATACTAATAATATTAAAAAAGTCCATACACACGGCTGTTTCTGAGAAAACCCGTAAAAAATACAAATAATATTAATTTATACCTCATGTCAAATCTTTTCTGTCTTTAACCAACTTCAAAAAAGGAGGACTTTTTAAATTAATATAATCTATTCCTTTTGTTTATATCAGGTGTGTTTTGTTTTTAGTTAGGCAAACTAAACATCCAACTTGAGTTTCGAAACTATGGTTATTCATTAATTAACAGTTAACATTTAACATTTTACGGTGGTAGGGCCACGCAGCAGCCTCAGCTGTTGCACGAATGGGCAGGCCCGTCCGGGTAAGTACCACGACCTCACAGAAGACCGGCGTAAAGTGGAAGTGTGACAAATACTTTCGCGTTTCGTCTGGTGAGTGAGGTAGCCGGAGCCCAATTTTCAAAAGGTTGTCATCGCATCTGGAACCCTCGGGTGTAGCAGATATCCATGGGCGGCGGTATTCACTTAACATCAGGTGACCCGTCTGCTCGTTTGGCAACTTTTCGCATAAAAAAAAAACATAATTCTGAGGAGTTAAAATGAAAATTTGTATTCTCCGTTATTTCTGGTACTAATTGTTTATTCATCACAGCAAATTTATCCACAAGCTTTCAAAATGTATAACTTACATTTAATGAAGTCTTGATTTTATCACTATGGTAAATAGTATAAAAAGCAGCAGTACCAACCTAGTTGGTGCTTTTGGGCTCTAACAAAGCCAAATAATGAATTTCAAATATATGGTTTGATATCAAATAAAAAAAAAATATATATATATATTATTCAAAACTTTTCAGATGTGGTTAAGCTGTGCATTTTTGGATTTAACAAATACTATTTTTATCTCTATCTATCTATTTCCTATATTTATAAAATACATCACCTCCCTGTTTTATTTTCTTTTAAGTGGTTGAAAATTATTTTAAAGAATTATATAAGAAAATTATATTTAAATATTATGGAAAATTATAGAAATTACAGAATGTTAATATATTTAAAAGTTAAAAGAAATTATGATTTCCATTTGTAATGGCAATATATTTTTTCATGTTTCTGAAATGAAATCTTAGTCTAGTTTTCTTGCTTTTCAATTGATTTATATTTTGTGTTATATATTAACATATATTTTTATTAAATGCTAGCTTAATATATTCAAGCCAAGTCTAACTATTGATGTAACTGGAAGGAAGGATCATTTTACATTGTTTTTCAATACATTTAATTTTCTAGAAATTAAAAAAAAACATTACATATTTTAAAAAATAAACACACAACATCGTGTTTATATCGGTACTTACCTTAATGTACTATACATTTTGTCTGTAATTACATAATTGACAATTTTAGTACCGAAATTACTAAAACAAGGCAACATTTAATAATTAACGTTTTCTAAGCAATTTTTACCAATGAATTATAGCTTCTCTATTCTACTATTCATTAATAGTCCTTGAAGTTTACTACACGCAAAAGTTTAATTGCAAAATTGAAACTAATACCTTATTTTTTTGTAAAACGAAATATGTAGATATTATGTAAGCGAATAATAATTCAAATATTTTACATACACAGTTAATGTTGAATTAAGAATTTTACTTACGATAATTTCTTCAGCTTCACAGTTTTATTTTAGAAATAAAATAAAATACTTAAATGCAGAATCAAATCGCCGCACACTACTGTACTTATAAGTGTCAGGCTGATAAAATTGTCAAACTTTGACAAACCCGAACTATAAATCATAAACTTACTTTAGTCTCTAACTAATGTCAAATGAACAGCTGATTTGTCAGATAACATTTAAATCCTAAAGCTAATCATTAACAATAATTGATTATAACATTCATAACAGATTACATTTTAATTGTTATAGTAAGATTTCTGGGACATATTCTCACGTATTAAAGGTCATCTTATTCGGTATTCTGGAGAAACTAGAAATCACTTTTTAACAAAAAAAATGTAATTTCTAATTAGTTGAAATAAGTTTTAATTGTGGATTTACTTGATAACTTTTCGCCTAAAAGTTCTTTTGCATATTTGTAAAAAAAACATTAAGGGATTTCTATTTACGTGTTTAATAATTCTAAACATAGGTTTAATAAACTAATTTCTTCATGCAATAAACGCAATTGGGTATTTTATTATACCTAAAAAATTTTCTTTATCCCTAATAAATTTTTTTTATCCCTAATAAATTTTAAATATTATGTAAACATAATAAAAAAACGAAGTAAAGTAAACAACTAAGTAAGCATATTGACTGTATTTGGTCTGAAATCTGGAAATTACAAGCAAGTAAAAAATAATAATAATCTATGATCAACAAAAGAATATGGCGGCTGTCGTTACAACAGCCGATATGACGATTCAAAAGAATTCTCAGATTTTAGTAAATGTTGAGGAAGCGTTAGCTGATTTACTTGTTGTATCATATTGTACTGAAGATAAAAAATTTCAAGGGGTGCTTCTGGACTCCAATAAAGGGTTGGTAAAACACTTTCCAAATGAAGAGCCATTATCGATTATTTAGAATATTCTTCGTGAGTTTCTATTTATTTCTTCATTATTTTCAGCAACTTGCCGTTTGGCGTATATAGCCTCCATCCAGCATTTATTAAAAATACTGAAACCACCGATAAGAAAGATGATAATCTACATTCCGTTAGTCAAAGATTTACTTATCAAGAGCCCCAATACGCAGATGAAGACGCTCAGAAATCAAAGAAATATGGCAGCAAAGGCAAACCGCAGCCTAGACAAAAGATGACTGTAAGACTGCGGCCAAGAAAGGTACTGTGTTCAAATTGTAAGGGAATATGCAATGAGAATAATGAAAATGTAGACGTGTCTAAAAAACGCAAATTAGACTGTGATGACGACACCCCACAAGATAGTTCCGTATCATCCAAAGTGGAGAAGAAACATCTTATGAGAAATATGCTTATTCCTAAACTGTCCAGGCTACAGACAAACGATAGTGACGTAAAATCAACTATCACCAATGATAAAAAAGCGAGGAATGTTAAAAGTGAAAAGCCAGCTGAAATAGAAAATTCCACCCGCGAATTGGCATTTGTTAGTGTCTCAGATAGTGTAGACATCTGTGATGATAATGACATGAAGGAAGAAAATGACACTACATTTAGCTCATTATTTTCGAGTGCTAGGACCTTAAAAATTTGTTTCGGGGAAGGTGAAGGCACTGTGGTGAAAATTCCCCCACTGTCAGGAGATTACAATGAGGATTCAGGTGTATCCTGCGACATGAGTAAACCACCCAAACCTGATTCTAAAGCTGTTAAGAAAGCTTTGAAGAAAGCTAAAAGGCAAGCCAAAAAGAATAATGTTATGGAGAAAGGTGAAGAAAGTAATTGCCAGTCTCCCAAACATGTTGGTGCGCTGTCACCTCATAATAATATGTCTGATAACCCTCCAATAGACCCATTAGAAAAGAAACATAGACATAAAACAAAACACAAGAAGAAACACAAGGTGATCAAGAAATGTGATGAAAACAGCAGTAAGAGTGATGGTGATGGTGTAGACTATTTTAGTAACATAAAAGAGCACTGTCTTAAACAAAAATTATCCATTAGTCTACGTAGGCTAAGTAGTAATTCCTACGAGAAACGAAATGAACAAGATACGGATGCATCAGATGATTGTGAAAGTGAAACGGTTCCGAATTTTCCACCCAACACCACGGAAAGTGTTGGAGGAAGGCCGCTGCGTGTTTCACCTGGTGATATTGTTTGGGGTAAAGTTGTTGGTTTTCCCTGGTGGCCAGGCAGGGTACTTAGTGTAACGGCTACATCTAGAGCCCATGTTGCTTGGTTTGCATCATCAACATCATCCTTAATACCATGTGATAGTTTGAGCCCATTTTTGGAGGATTACAAGGTATGTAGTGACTGTCTTTTCAAATTATATTTAAGAGAAAAGCTACTTAACAAATCCATATTATATACAAAGTTATCAGGCTTAGTATTTTGAGGCACATGATGATATTTATATGAATAAAATGTTTACATTTATGATGAGTGATCAATTTACTATTTCAAAAACATATCATAAACATTTCCAGATACGTTTCAACAAGAAGAAGAGGGGTCCATATAAAGAGGCTGTGAAACAAGCGACAATTGAAGCAAGACAAATTGAATCTCACATGGATCCTTTGGCAAGTCCTACTCACCCGAATTTGGCCACTGTTTCACCGCGGCCCATTGATGTGTTCTCGTAATTGTCATTTTATGATATTCATACCCGAATTCAAAAATATTAATGTGTGATAACTTAGTAATTTCATTGACTGCACAAACCTACTGATGGTCATTATAGTTATTAAATTATTTAAAAATAAATTGGTCTACTGGTTAGTAAAATAAAAAGTACCACCAATATATTCTCATTGTAGCAAATATTTATCAAATATAACAACAATCAATGAAGATATTGGTAAATGTGCAATATTTTGTTGAATTCTCAATGATAACTGCATTATATATTGATTTCAATTCATTTTTGTTGCTATAAATGTTCCATTGTTACATTCTTGTAGGTAAAGTAAATCATCAAATGCTTGTTATGTTTTATTGTTTTTTAGATTTTTCTGTTTATATTGTATATAAAACACGGCCATGTTATATATTGTTTGACAATTATACATATATGAGTATAATTGTATAGTTATTTAGTGCTATTGCCATTCCTATGACTCATTTAGCAAATATTGTATATTTTTATGTGCCGTATGATATTTGGAGTGACTGCAGAGTATGAACATTTTTTTCTTTTCCAATTTACACACAATATGTTTCAGTAGTTTCTCTCACTCTAACTTTTGCTGATTTTTTATGTTAATTTTTGATTATTAATATTGATTTTTATGTTAATTGCTGAAACATCAATGTTCTTTCAGCATTTCTGATTTATTTTGCATTTATAGGAACCAAAAAATATGACTTCTGATTCAACATCTTTTTAAACAATAATAAAACTTATATAATTTTAACATCACATAGAAACTGTTTTGTATGTTTTTAATTACAAATAATTATGAGTGTAGGGTTCGGAAAACACTGTTCTATGTAAATGTTAAGCTATATTGAGTAAATTATGTAAGGTTATTATAATGTGTAATATATATGCCAATAAGATACATGTGAATTGCGATCTTTGACAACATTTATAGTTTTATTATTATAATTATATGTGATAGAAGAAAATAATATTAATTGGGGCCTACAGAAAATCAATTGTTTCAAATTAAAACAGCCAGAAAAATGCATTTTTCATTGTAACCAACATTTTAATTGTAAATGCTTTAAAATTGGTGTGTTATGGCATGATAATGTAATTATAGTTACCTGTAACACTCTTGATATGAGTAATATTGTAAAATAGCTAAATGTTTATATGTTATATATATGTTTAGGACAAATCCATTATTTATTCAGGGTATGTACTTAGTGAGAATTGTCTTATTAAGTCAAATTTACCTGTTTACCTTTGTAAATCTGTGTAAAGTGTATATTTATTGTATCTGCTGCAATTCCTAAAATATTTATGCCAAAGATGCATGATCTTTGTCATATGTATGTTACAATTACTTTTGATTATGTTAACTGTAGACTAACTACAGCTGATTCCATTGTAATGCCTGTGAATAAGGTGTTTCATTTTAAATTGGTATAAGAATATTAAAGTCGTTTTATTTATTAACATACTACATACATTACATTACAACATAATTATTGTGTTTGAACAGCTGATTTATAGTATTACTAGCGACCCTCCCCGGCTTCGTACGGGTGCAATGTATTATATATATATAAACCTTCCTCTTGAATCACTCTATCTAGTTAAAAAAAACCGAATGAAGTTCTGTTGTATAGTTTTAAAGATCTAAGCATACATAGGGACAGACAGACAGCGAGACGACTTTGTTTTATACTATGTAGTGATGCACAGCAAAGAGACGTTTACATTTCAAGTGACATTTTACCACAGTCACTCGCATGTTTTGCCTTCCCGGCACACCTCCACTAACACTTAATCTTTATGGTATTGTATTAAAGTTCAAAAGTAAAGTTTATGTGAAAAGTTGGCAAGCATGTGCTCATGCGTGCGTTTAACTACGGCATGTCATCTAAGGACCATCGAGGTTGCGGTGCGGACCGAGACCCCGATGGCCGTCGACTGTGTTTTTAGCTAATCGGTGGCTGGGGGCGGTGAGAACCGCCCTGGAACGCGGGTGTACCTTGTGTACGCGTTATGTCTCCATGTTAGTTTCATAGTTAGATCAGTCTCGTCACTTTATCCGTGGTTACGTGACCAATTGGTCAGTGTCCGGGCGCTCGATTGTAATTCATTATACTCGAGCAACTAGAGTTTTTTGTGATAATTCAGCACTTAAAATTGACAATTTCATTGGTGCTGGCACCGGAGATCGAACTCGGGTTGCTCGTACATGAAAGATATTTGAAAAAAACTTATCAATGCCGTAGAACCCAAAACAACGATTGTTAATTTTTTTTATTGTTTGTCTGTGCGTTTGTGTGCGCTAGTCTTAGAAACTGTTTAACCGATTTGGGTGCAACTTTCACTAAAGCATGGAAGTAAGCTTTACTAAACATTTAGTGTTAGTTTTATTTAAATTGGTTCAATAAAAATGGTTATATCGACTTACATATCCACATTGAAGATTTGTGCCATAAAATGCTATATATTAGCTACAGTTGAATTGGATGAAACTATAGTTAACTACATAATATTATGGTCTGTAAAATCATGATGAGAAATAAAAAAAAATCAGCGAAGTGCGAGTCGGACTCGCGTACGAAGGGTTCCGCAGGTACTTTTTAAGCACGATATAAAATTTAGTACATGCGGGCGCAATATATTTCGAAAATAGTTACGTAGTGGACTAGGCACTGACACTGGCCTAGCAGTGAGACATTATATAGGCTGTTACTCACACTCAAAGTGCCAGATAGGCTCGTACACACCATCCGGACCTTCCTGTCGAATCATTCTTTTCGATATCGATTTGAGGGCACCCTCTCCACAAGCCACCGCCTCACGGCTGGCGTTCCACAAGGCTCCTACCTCTCACCCGTACTCTTTACGCTCTACACGAGTGAGACACCCAAAGACCCCCACGTAAATCTCGCGCTTTTCGCGGATGACACGGCGCTCTTTTATACAGATAAAAATCTCAATCAACTCACTACTCGTTTCCAAAGCGCCGCCGACCGCCTCGGCGATTGGTTAGGAAGAGTGTAGCGATTCACTTCGTACGAAGTAGTTACCCATCACATTTTTATAAAGGCCCTCGCCAATGCAGAAAGTTGGGGCAAATATCCCTTTATGGTCAACCGCTCCCCTGGAAGAAAAAATCAAATACTTAGGAGTCACTTTCGTATGTCATTTACTACGCACATTAATAACATTCGTAATAGAGCCGCGTTCGCCTCCGGTCGGCTACACAATTTAACTAAAGCTAAAAGTAAAATGCCCTAAAGGCACAAATTTTATTATTATATAAGACCTGCGTACGACTTATTATGTCCTACGCATGCATGACCTTCGCCCACACGCACCCTACTCGCTTGTACAAGCTGCAAATAGTACAAAATAAGATCATCCGCCGCGCAGCCGGTGCTCAGTGGTATCAACGCAACGTTGACCTGCACAGCGATTGCAGACTCCCGACGATTCGCGAATATTTTAAATACCCGACCAAACGGTTCTTCGATAAAGCCGAATATCATCCCAACCCTCTGGTGGTAAGCGCAGCAAATTACCAACCCGACACAAACGTGAACATAAATAGTTAAACTCACGCATGAACACATGCGCGGCCCTACCCACAGCGGACGGCCCAAACTCATCATCGCATCAGATGAAGCTTTAATAGTCTCGGGACTGAAAGCACAAACACACAGTTAATACAAGATACAAGTAGGCTGTTACTTTACTTTTTACTCATATTCTAAATATGGGGATATTGTTTCAAAGGTCATATTTCCGCAAAAAAAGTGCCGAGTGGGGACCGCGCCGGGGACAAAATATGCAAGGACTGTCACAAATTTTGATTTTTACAAAAACTCAATAATATGTTTTATTAAAAAAAAAAACTAAACAAGTCGAGTAAAAAATATTGAAAATGTACAAAATTTTGGTGAGATAAGAACAACAATAATAATTTCAGAGTTACAGCCCGAGAGAGGGTAGTAGAGCTGCTTGTTTCATTAAGTTTCATTGCGTGAACTGATTTTTGCAAATAAATTATTCTAACTTACGATACTGTTATAGGATTATACGAAATGTTGATATTTAAGGAGAATCTAATCACTGTTTGAACTCCGAAACAGTACTTCTTCTTTCTTTCTTTATGGCCTCTCTTTAAAGAATTCTGCCAATGTCAAGTCAGTATTCGGAAACAGTATTAAAGTAATTAGAAAGGTTAGTGTCAATAAGTTCTACAAAAAATTATCTTGTGTACACGTCATGAAGAAAATAATAGATTTAACATGCTTAGGCTTTATGAGCCGACGATTTACAAAAGCAGATTGAACTAATTAGGTAGCAGTTACTACTAAGAATATTGTCTATTCCGAAAATCGGTCAATAAAGAAAGCCAAGTGGTCTAGTCTCGAGTTATTTTGAACGATTGCTGTTTGAAAACACGATTCTCGTGAATATGGACGAATCACGAATGGCATGACACGAATATTTTTAAAAAAGCAGTGCGCTCGCGATGTCGCGACAGGAATAGCAGACGCGTAAGAGGGGAAGGGAGGGGGGGGGGGGGGACTGAGGGACGCGTCGCGACGCATTCATGTCGCAGCCGCGCAATGTGGCGGAGCACGTGCTTAATTCTGTTGTGCTACCTCACAGCCGCCACCGCCGACGGAGACCTGCTGATCGGTTAGCCGAATCTCCATCGATATCACGACATAATATTTTAACCCCTTCGAAGCGTCTATCAACATAGAAAATGTTACAATCATAACATTAGTTGATTCTAATAATGCACCTACGCGGATGTTTACGCGAAAGTTGGAAAGTTCATTGAGTAACTCTTAAGATGATACAAGAGTGTAGTTATATATAAATTTGCAAAAGCAACACTTAGTAAGCCGCTTTACGGAAAGTGATACAGAAATGGATTACGTTCAGTGCTACGTTATAGTTTGCAAGATTATGAAAGTGGAACAGAAATAATAGAATTATGGGTTCAGCATAGCTACCTAAATAAAACTGGCAATCAGTTAGCAGCATAACGGAAGCTGATGTAAAATAAACAATATTATATAGTATCCATGTTGTGGTTATGAACATCTTGAAGAAGCAATCGAGTGTCCACGATCATGTGAACAGACCGGCTGGTTTATGCAGGCGTGGTGTGCGCCGAGCCGGAGCGAGCCCAACGTTTGGCGGCGGCGGTGGATGCGGCGTTGAATTGTACAGAGCCCTGCGCCAGACTTCTGCCAGCGGAGCCACGCGAGCCTCTCGCTTTGCCTCACGCCGTCTGTGACCAGGTACCAACCTCAAGAGCTTTACCCCAGATTCATGTGTCATCATTCGATACGGTAACTCAACACTATTGAGGCTCTACCAAGACAAGTTTTGGTTCCTCGTAGGTCGACTCAGTTTTGTTATCGCTGTCTTTTGATTAAGAAGTGATAATTATTTTAACTCAGAGTGGTCTTTCGAATAGGCGATCCATTAAATACAAAGAAATATACGAAACGTTTCTCTCTTAAACTGTAAAAAGAATTCCACTTTAGATTTTTAAGACTTTTTAACACTTTAGAATTGAAATATGAGATTGAAGAGAGAATAAACTTATTTCACCATCTATAATTACAAAGCCAAGTATTGAAACAATGTATATTTCCTCGAGGGCCAATTGCAAAGAAATCTTTGGATTGGTTTTTGAGTAGTATCTATATAATATTTTTCAAAAGTGTTTTTATGCCTGTACACCATAATTCCTGAACAAATTTTATGATTCATCATTCCATTTTCTAGCTGATGGTACCCCGTGTTTACCGTGACACCAGACTCATGATCTCTGTCCAGCCCGTGAATATGAAAGTGTCGACTGCTTAAAATAAATAAAAACTGCGATAAAATAAATTCGTTCTATTAAAAATATACCTTTTGTAATAATGTGGCGGTTCAAAATAATCAAAGTTGATGATTCCGGGGTGCAGTTGCGAAGCCATTGTCTTCGGCGCCGGGGGTTATGAGTACGATTCCCAAACGTAACAACTAATTGTGTCCCATAAATAATTGTTTCGGATCCGGGTGTGGATCCACGTGAAATTAATTGTAAAAAAATAATAAATAGTACGGAATTTATTTCGTTGTACGCAAATCGTTACCAACATTCAATAGAGTACTGGTTACTCATCCATCCATTTATAAGTACCATCGACTAGTTAGTAGTTTGGCGGTGGTAGGGCCACGCAGCTGCCTCGGCTGTAGCACGAATGGGCATTCGTGCAACAGCCTTACTTAACTAAGTACCACGACTTCACAGAAGACCGGCGTAAAGTGGAAGTATAATACTTTCGCGTTTCGTCTGGTGAGTGAATTTTCGAAAGGTTGTCAACGTATCTGGAACCCTCGGGTGTATCAGATGTCCATGGGCGGCGGTATTTTTTTTTTTTTTTTTTTTTTTTTTTTACGTGGGAAAAATTCTTTATGGATCCCCCGCCGTCTTGTGGGCAGGCAGCGGGGGTATGTGGGAGTCCCCAGGAACACGGGGTACCCACTAAAAACCCACGTTGCACCTGCGTTGTCGCTTTTGCCGGGGACGCGGGAATACGATAACGCAATCTTCCGCGAACCCCAGCGCGACTGTGGCCTTCTCAGGCCTCCGCTCCCGGGTGTTAGGGACACCCAGTCCAGCCATATGGTGCCGTATCGGTGCAATGGATACGGCACCCCTCGCGATTCGTCCACGGGGTAGCACTTAGCCCCACATCTGCCGCCCCGGGGTTTGCTATCAGGGGGGGAAGGTTGCGCGCGTAGGCCAGCCTCCTGCGCCCTGGTCTCCGGCGGCGGATTTCCAGGGTGGCAGTTGCCTCCCTTTCTCTCTCCGCGGCCTCCTTCCGGGTGATTACGTGCTCACAAAATGCGAGGACAGCACCCCACGCCCTCTCGCTGTCCACCATAGCACAAACCACAGCAGGCAGTGAGAGGTCGTGCCCCACGATAGCGCACAACTCTCGGCGCTGCTCCATCCAGGCTGGGCACTCTTCCAGCGCGTGTTGGGCCGTCTCCTCGGCACATACGTCGCAGTGGTGGCATTCCGCTGTGGGCTCCCTCCTCGCCACGCGAAACAGATACCTCCCGAAACAACCATGTCCCGAGAGGACCTGCGTCGCGCGGTAGGTGAGGACGCCGTATTGTCCAGCCACCTACTGAGAACAGGACGTGTGGCCTCCACGGTTCTTAGGCCGGCGCTGGAGTGCTCCAGCCTTTGCTGCCACTCAATGATGGTATTTGAGCGCAGGATATTCCTGCGCATCCCCAACTCGTCTGTGGCTGGCGTGTGGCCCTGGGCTTTAAGCTCCTCGCGCCAGAAGTGCAGTGACGCGAGGATTTCAGCTTCCAGGTCCCAAGGCAAAGAGCCAGCCCACAGGCACGGAGCGGCGGTATTCACTTAACATCAGGTGAACCGTCTGCTCGCTTGGCAACTATTCACACAAAAAAAAAAGTTAACAAAATACTTAGTTTCGTTGGAGGGTATCTTTGGTTACACATGAGAGTTCTGCCCGCCGTTAGGCAGGCTCAGGGGTCAACGTGCTATTGGGCGAGGCAGCGGCGCTACCGGCGGCGGCGCGCGCTGGCTTGCCACTTCTTCTGCCAGCACCCGCGCCAGCCCTCGATGAAGTCGCCGCCCTTCAACTCCTACCGCATCCAGACCTCATCGCGCAGGTAACTCTCTTTATTTTAACCGTGGTAGGGCCACGCAATGGCTCCGGCTGTTGCACGAATGGGCAGGTCCGTCCGGGTATGTACAACGTCCTCACACAAAACCGGCGGGAAGCGGAAGTGGCACACTTCTGCGTTTCGTCTGCTGAGTGAGAGACCACTGTATTATAAGGTGGGGACGCATCTGCAACCCTACCGGAGATATAAATGTCCAAGGGCGGCGGTTGTCACCTTCTTAAACATAAATAAATAATGTTACAGCGTCCCGACAGAAACATCTTCGACATTTCATATAGAGATATCAAGGTTGTAGAGATTCTTAAGACATACGACATTACTGGTGTTGCAATGTCCATGGGTGGCCGTTATAACTTAACATTACGTTAACCGCCACTTGCCACAATCGCTTGCCACTTTCTGACATACTTTCCCATTTCGTCAGATGGTAGAAAGTGAGTACCAGTTACCTAGCTACTCCAGGTAGGAGTAGCTAGGTAACTGGTACTCACTTTTAAATATGTTTTCAACACATGTGTAAACCACTAGGTGTTGTAGATGATAATGGGTGGCAGTAGCTACTTAACTTCATGAACGGCCTGCTTGCTTGTCAATTTTCTACGTACAAAAAAACATTGGTGACAATAGATAAACCATCTGTTTTCGCAGTTCTGTGCGTGTTTGCAGGCTTGCGCGGAGGTTTGCGAGGCGAAGGGATGGTCTAGTGCGGTGTTGTTGCATTCTGGGGGAGCGGACGGCGCGGCGCGGCTGGCGAGGGCTGGTGCTGACGTGGTGCCACGGCAGCTACCACCGCCCGGAGACGATGCGCTTCTCAGGTGGCTTGGGGTCACCTTTTACTTTAATCTTTTACCCTTCATCTTACGGTACTTATCTTTTACGTTAGGTGTCATGTTCATTGGAACACATTGGTTTATAATCTTAAATGTGGGTCTTGAACCTTTTTTCCAAAATAAAATTATTTAAGTGAATATAGTGGCGTTAGGTAAAACACGTGTTGTGTGATGCTAACTGGCTAATTGCAATTTGCATAATAACAAATACATAACGTGTTTTATTATCATTCCGGATGTCTATTCCTTGTGCACACTTGTGCGTTAGACAGTTGTGCTCCTCCTGGCACTATTTTATCGTCAATGAGTGTTTTTATCATCAGATTATTTCTTTAACTCTATTTGTTAAATCGAACTACTGCCCCGACAGAAAAGGCTCTTTTGTATATTACGTATTTGTATTGTTACTTTAAATGTATCCGGCTCACAGCTAGGCAAAGGTTTCTTCTGTGAGTACTCAGTACCCACTGTACTGTACTCGGATCTTCTCTTCTTCTGTTTTTTTTTATCAAATTGCTTAAGAATTTTTCTTTTACTTAAGATAATCTCTAATACGTCTTACGCCCGTCAACTAACCAGCTGTCAAATGGATGTTCAATTTTTCAGAATGATCTTCTAATTCATCAAAATGATCAATTCAAGGAGTTTAACAATACTTTTGGCAACTGAAATAACGTTCGAAAATCTTTTTGACAGCTGGTTAGTTGACCTCTACGATGATCATTGTTTCAGAAACCGGGCGTTAGTATTATTAATTCAGAATTGGCTACCCACTTCAATGTGGTTCTTTTTCAAATCTCAAACTGACTTTGAAAACTTCCAGGAACTTGTTGCTGGTGCTCAAGAAGTTCGGCGCGACCAACTTCATAATCTGGTGCGAGGCGGAGTGCGCGGAGCGAGTGCTGGACGCGGCGCAGCGCGCTGGGCTGCTGGGTTCGCGGTACTCCTACGTGGTGCTGGCGCTGGACTTTCACACGCGGGACCTCCACCGCTACAGCCACAGCGGCGCGAACGTCACCAGTTAGTCAATGATAGCACTCTTTTGGAAGGGGTTGGGAGTCCCAATGACCACTGCGACGTAGAAAATCTATTGTAGTCTACTACTAGTGGTACCTTAACGCTAATGCCACAGGAGTGAACATCACTAGTTGGTCACTGATACCACACGTTTGGAAGGGCTAGGGTGGTACCCAAGGACCACTGTGACCTAGAGGATCTAGATCTACTGTATTCTGATGCCACTCGTCCCTCCCACAACCACAGGAGGGAACATCACCAATTACTCACTGATATCACTGCCCTCTTGGCTTCTTATCTTGCACTGACAATAATATTGCAGGTGTGTTACTAACTTTAAAGAGAGTGGGCCTCTGATAACCTAAATTACCAGGCGAAACGCTCAGGATCGCCTTCTGCCAAGCACTGGCCTTCAGACGAGCAGGCTTATCGAGTTTAATATTGGCTCAAGATTATAACGTTTGGACATTATAAATTTAATTTAATTGAAACTATAAATGAAACCATTTTTACGGATTTATCTCGTTTGTCTTAAATTTACTCGTTGTTAATGTACACAATTTCAGAATTTTAGTACAAAAAAGTTCGAAATGAAATTGTAACACTCTCGTGTGATCGTCTACCGCAGGCGTTCACCTGTTCGACCCTGAGTCGGAGCGCATCCAGCAGCTGATGCAGCTGTGGCGGGAGGCGTACGCGCGTCGGCTGTCCACTGCTGGGACTAGACAAGAGCCAGAGGGGGCGCAGGGGGGGAACGGGGAGGGGCCCTCCGACGCCAGTAGCGAGCTGGTGCTGGCGCACGACGTGGCGCTGGCGGTGGCGGCGGCGTGGCGCCACCTCGGCCTGCCCACCCTCGCCACCGCCTCGTGTACAGGCTGCGCAGCGTTCCACGCGGACACGGTGCTCAACTTTCTGCGCTCGGTACGTTCTTTCTGCGCTCGGTACGTTCATTCTGCGCTCGGTACGTTCTTTCTGCGCTCGGTACGTTCTTTCTGCGCTCGGTACGTTCTTTCTGCGCTCGGTACGTTCTTTCTGCGCTCGGTACGTTCTTTCTGCGCTCGGTACGTTCTTTCTGCGCTCGGTACGTTCTTTCTGTGCTCGGCACGTTCTCTTCTGCGCTCGGTACGTTGTTTCTGCGCTCGATACTTCAACAGCTCGGTTGTAACAATATGGGCATTATTTTTATTATACTTCTAAGGAAATTAGATTTATACCTTTAGCAGCGACCGCTGAATTAGCCGTTTAATTACTTAAATTTGAAAGTTAGAGCATGTACTATACTATAATTATGTACATCGTGTGTTCTCATTGTGATTCCTGGTATATGGTCCGTCCATACGTCTACAAATGGATAACGGCGTACTCTATCCTTTTCCCTTCAACTGTGCGATAGAGAGTCTGTCTCTCACTCTACCTTTGTCTATTGCTCACTGCTCACTATCCGTGCGTTTGCTTTTAATTCAATATTACTTAAGCAGCCCGAATTCGAGTCCCGCCAGCTGGAGGGGCGCTGGGGGCAGCTGCGCTAGACCGTATTGAGCCAGCGTAGCGATCACTGAGTTGTAACTTTTAAGGACTTATAGGATGCAAGTATACCGACAGGAGTTCAGCTATGATAGGCTATCAGCTATCCTTACCCTCATGGGGGCAAGAGCGGGTTTTGTCCAACTCGCACCGACTTAAACACCCACGATGTTCCTCCTAGGCGCACATCGGCAGGCCACGGATACGCATACTTCCGCGACCCTGCTAGTGCTGGCCGCCTCAACAGCCGCCTCCCGGGGAGTAACTCCCCTCTCCTCCTGGTATGGCGCACTGGAACATTCAGCGCCCCGTCCTACTCGGCCCCTTTTTCGTAATGTCGATTAAAAAGGACACATACAAGCCGGTTCCAACTGGGCGTGCAGGAGGAGTGGGGCGGGGCGGGCGGGCAGCTGCGCTGGGCGGCGGGGGGCGCGCGCAGCGACGCGGCGCTGTCGGTGGCGGAGCTGCAGCGCTGGGGGCGCGCGGCGGCCGTGGCGCGCTGGGTGCCGCGCGGGGGCCTCTCCTGGCGGCGCCGCCCCACCGCCGCCGAGCCGCCGCCCTCCGACGTCATGACCAACCGCACCTTCAACGTGCTCATCGCCTTGGTACGTTTTCCGGTGACACGAGCTTGGCCTAGTGGATAGCGTACCTGTCTGTTGCGCCAGGAGTTCTGGGTTCGATCTCCACGCGGGCAATGGATAATATTGAAAATATAAATATAAATATTGCGCGATAATAAAATGTTTTTCTAGTGTCCGTGTGTTTGTATGTATGTATTTACAACTTAAAAGTATGTTAAAGTAGGTATATTTATCACTTGTCTAACCGCACCTTCAACGACTTGGTAGGTTCGTTTTGGAGTGTGGCAAGCTTTTCGGTGATACAACATTGTCGTAGTGGATAGTGGACCCGTCGGTTCCAAGTATCATTTCACATTAGACACTCAACAGACGCAACAGAGAGGTATTATACTTTCACTCCACACACACTTTAATACAGGCAAGCGCGAAGATCTAAGTCCTTCTTGCCTACTGATGAGTTACTTTGAAGGCACGCCTGTGTCTATTTGTGTTTGTGTGGGTGTGCATGTTTGCTGATCTTACCTAGTTTTAATCTATTATCTACTATTGTACGACTCTGGAAGCCATATATCAAATATACACTAGCGGGAAATTCTCATGACGTCCAATTTATTTATTTATTTATTCGGTCTGCAGTAGATGTTACATTAAAAACAATATTACATGAAACATGAATTAATGTTGCAACTTAATGTACATCGAATTAAGAGGCAAACAGAGCATGCTTAAAAATTAAAACAAAAAAATGAATAAAAGTTAAACGAAAAGTATGAACAAAATATCGTTAGGCTTACTTACTTATTACTAAATATATTAAGATTAAAAAAAATAACATTGTAATTTTGTAAGGCCAACATTTTAACCAAGATCCTACTAATAAATCTCAGTCTGTTACTACATTGTTAATTTATGAAATGTCACAGAGCCGTAATTGAGACATGATAGCTCAATGTTCGGAGTTCGCGCTCTTTTAATTCAACATATTCGAGCAACCTGAGTTCAAATTCCGGTGCTGGTACCAATTAAATTGCTAATTGCAGATTAAGGAAAATATCACGAACCTGTATATTTTCGAAATAATAACAAGAAAAAAATATTTCAAACATATTCGAAGTCCTCCAATCAGCATTGGGGTCGAGTGGTAGACTATACCCCAATACCCTAAGACTATGTCCTAATACTCTGTACAGAGGAGGTTTTTGCTCAGCAGTGGGACATATACAAGCTGTTGATTCACTTTACAGAGCGATCCATACGTTATGAGGCAGCTATCCCCGGACCGACTGTCAGGCAACAGCCGTTACGAAGGTAAGACCGAACCAAAACTGTGTGCCTTCATAAGAGACTAGCTGCTGCCCGCGACTATGTCTGCCTAGATTAGGCTGAAGGCGTAACATTCAGACAGAAAGACAGATATACATAAAATATGTATATAACTTATAGCCTATGTCTTATTCAGATGTATAAGCTATATTATTGTAAATTTTCATTAAAATCCATTCAGTAGTATTTGCGTGAAAGAGTAACAAACATCCATCCATACATGCATACAAACTTTCGCCTTTATAATATTAGTAAGCATACGTCTGTATATCTCTATAATCTCTAAATCTTTATCTTTATATCCCTTAAGAATCACTACATAGATTAATGAATTTTTGTAAATTAGTTTTCGAAAAATTTAATAAACAAAGTAGATAGATGTAAAGATTTTCGTGTAATAAGTTCATTTTGTAAAAGCTACCTTAATGTAAAGGGCTTATTATAATGTCGAAGAATACTTTATGGACAAGGATGTGTGGAAATTACTCTGACTCTGTCTGAACTTGCAAGCCAGGGGAGGCTGATGCTGATTTTAAACTTCATAAAATTTATATAATTGTATCATTAAAAAAGAAAAACAAAAGAGGTAACAAGACCGCTGAGTTTTTTGCCCGGTTCTTCTCTTCCAGAAAATTCCAGTTTAGTGAACCAGTGGTAGTTTTTTTTTAACGTTCAATAATACCTTGAATTATGCATAATATTGAATGAAGTAAATTTTGAATTTGACTTCGAGAAATCTCCCAATTCCAGGCTACTGCATCGAGCTCATCGAGAAGCTGGCCAAGATCCTGAACTTCAACTACACTTTCATAGAGCAGGCGAACGGCGTGTACGGCTCGTACCACCCGCAGCGGGGGTGGAACGGAATGATGCGCCGTCTCATGGACGACCCCGTAAGATGAGTTGCTTCTGCTGTATACGTACTAGCTCTTGCCCTCAACTTCGCCCGCGTGGCTCTTATTGAAGCAACGTATTTAGTTTAGATCAATTCCCTACCCAGACCGTCAAGCTAAAACAAACAACAAACACGCAAATCACTTATATACAAATTAAATTTTGTTAAGTGACACTTTCCGCAACGTGTCCTGCACACGTGCTGCATAAGTAAATCTTTTATGGCACGATGTATACGTTTCTACAACAAAATCACAGAAAACGTTTCAACAAAATGTATAAAGTTCAAATTCAATTATATTTATTCAACATAGGAACATTATACTCACTTATTGATAGTCAAAATACCCCGGTTCGGAAATGAAAACCACTGACCTGAGAAGAACCGGTGAAAGACAGTCAGCGTGTCAACAGCTAAATTAAAAAAAAGTATGTACCTAAAAGAACATTTGTGTACTAAAGTCTATTATAATATTGTTACGTGTTAGGGGGTTCGAAGGATTTGGAGAGAAAGACCTGCTGACTCTTTTGAAGACTTTATTTACTAGCGCTAGGTCCAACACAAAGCACTAGGTCCAAACGCTAAGCACTGACGATGTCCTAGGTTGTAGCCAAGTCGTAGGTATCACTGATATCGCTCTTGATCACTAGTTTTCACTCCGAAGTCGCCTCGAAGGTAGCTCAAACCGAACTGTCATCGCTCGCCTCCCTGCGGCTTTTTATAAGGGCCGAGACCGGTTCCGGACTAATCCAGAAAGATCATTCCTGGAACGTACCCGACACGCACGAACATGTTCGTGATTCCGGAAAGTTCGCGAATGTACCCGGTTTTCGAGACTATAATTCCACAGCAGTTCCTCTAACGCCATCTAGTGTTGAATAGGGGGTTTTATGTCGTCTTTGTTCTTTAGTGGTTTTAATAGTTGACGCTAGATGGCGTTCGTTCCTTTGTGTGTTCATAACACTACTCCCCTCTTAGAGATGCTCGTCCCGAGCATCATTGTTACTGCCATGGTAACGCGCCAGACGGTCTATGTGTACCACTTTGAATGTCCCTCTTGGTTGCTTTTGAATCCTATAAGTCACATCATTCAGTCGGGTAACCACTTTATATGGATCGTCCCACTTGGTCTGCAACTTTGGGAATTTCCCTTTCCGACGAGTTGGGTTATGCAGCCACACCAGTGACCCTTCGTCGAAGCCGTCCGTGTTCGATTTCCGGTCGTATCTGATTTTCATGTTCTCACTTGACTGTAACCCATTTTCCCGAACCAAGGCGTGTATATAGCGCATTTTTTTTTCTTAAATTGCAGACATAGTCTTGTACGGTCTCTGGTCCCTCCGGTGACCCTCCTGTCAATAGGTCTACTGGTAATCGTAGTTCTCTACCGTAATTGACATGCGCCGGGGTAGCTTTTATGCTCTCATGTTCGGCGGTTCGGTACGACAGAAGGAAGAGTGGTATATACTTGTCCCAATCCTTTTGTTTGTCGTCTACCAATTTCGCCAGATGCCTCTCAAGGGTCTGGTTAAATCTCTCAACCATTCCATCAGACTGTGGGTGGCACGCGGTGGTCCTCGTCTTATGCATGCCCAAAATTCTACACACTTCCTGGAATACTTGCGATTCGAAGTTCCTGCCCTGATCGGAATGGATTTCTAGAGGCACACCAAAGCGACACATCACTTCTTCGACTAACTTAGAAGCGACTGTTGTAGCTTCTTGGTTTGGTATGGCGAACACTTCGGGCCATTTGGTGAAGTAGTCCATGACGACCATAAAATACTTGTTTCCCGACTCCGTTACAGGAAATGGCCCAGCTACGTCGTCAACTGCAATTCGTTCCCACGGTGCACCGACGTTATACAAACGCAGGTTCCCACGGCTTCTGGTCTGTGGTCCTTTTACAGCAGCGCAAGTAGTACATTTGCGGCACCAATCCTGTACATCATCTCGACAGTGCAACCAGTAGAATCGTTCTCGCACTTTTGTTAACGTCCTCTTGACACCTAGATGACCTCCTGATACGCCATCATGTATTTCACGGAGAACATCCGGTACTCTCGTTCTCGGGACAATTATCTGAAGATGGAACTCTCTGCCGTTAGTCTTCTCCCCCATTTCCGGTAGAGTATTCCGTTTTGAAGTATCAGACTGTCCCATTGCGCCCAGTACGCCTTTGTGACGGCGCCAGTGGAAGCAACCTCACTCCAGATTGGTTTTACGTCACCCCGTTTCTTCCATGTGAATATTTGCCGAAGGTCGTCATCTCTTTCTTGAGCCTCCCTCATAGCATCATTCTCCCAGAGACCCAAAGGACTTGTTCTCGTTAGCTTTAATGTTACTTCATTAGATTCCAGTTTGACGCAATAGTTTCAGTCTTCTGAACACGGCCTTCGTGAGAGTGCGTCGGCATTCCCATGCGTCTTTCCACTGCGGTGTTCCGTCTTGAAGTCATACTCCTGGAGCTGTTCAATCCATCGAGCTACTTGACCTTCTGGGTTCTTGAATTGCAGTAGCCACTTCAAGGCTGCGTGATCAGTTCGCAGTAAAAACTGTCTGCCGATGAGATATTTGTTGAAATGTTGTAGTGTCTTTACAACAGCCAAGAGTTCTCTTCTTGTCAGACAGTAGTTTCTCTCTGGCTTGGATAAAGATTTGCTGAAATATGCGATAACAACTTCTCTTTCACCCTGTTTTTGAGATAACACCGCTCCAATGGCCGTGTTGCTTGCATCCGTGTCGACTATAAACTGACCTTCAGATTGTGGATACCCCAGGATTGGTGTTTCACATAGATGTTTCTTCAATTTCTGAAAAGAATCTTCACAAGTCCCATCCCAACTAAATTGTCGTTTATCTTCTGTCAGCCGATGTAATAGCTTGGCTATCTCTGAGAATCCCATTACAAAACGCCTGTAGTATGAGCATAGGCCGAGGAATGCCCGCACTTCGGATTTGTCCTTAGGGGTAGGCCATTTTTGAACTGCTTCCAGTTTCTCCGGGTCTGTCTGGATTCCATCACTGGAGATAACATGGCCGAGATAGTTGACCTTGCTCCTGAATAAACGACACTTTTTTGGGTTCAACTTTAATTTAGCTCCCTCTATTTTGGCGAAAACTCGCTCCAAGTTTCGCAAATGGTCCTCGAAGTCACGGCCGACAATGATGATGTCATCTAAGTAGACTAAGCAAGCCTCTCCAACTAAGCCAGCAAGTACACACTCTATGAGGCGCTCAAATGTAGCAGGTGCGTTGCACAATCCGAAGGGCATGACGTTAAATTGCCATAAACCCTTACCGGTCGAGAAAGCTGTCTTCTCCTTGTCTTTTGGATGAATTTCCACCTGCCAGTATCCAGATTTCAGGTCTAGGGTCGAGAACCATTTCATGGCACTCAAGGTATCCAAAGTGTCGTCGATTCGAGGTAACGGGTAACTGTCCTTTTTAGTGACATCATTGAGACGCCTATAGTCTACACAAAATCTTGTGCCACGCACCACGGACTTGTAGACGGTTCAATAATCTTATTCCTTCGCATGTCCTCCAAAAGGCCTTCAACTTCTTTTTCCTTTGCAATTGGTATCCGTCACGCTCGTTGACGAATTGGTCTTTCGCTTCCGGTATCTATCCTGTGCTGAACCATCGAAGTTCTTCCAAGGTCCCCTTCTTGACTGGAGAAGATATTCGCGTAGCGCTGTAAAAACTTCCTAGCTTTCATGCCCTGCGAATAAGTCAGATTACTCTTGCAGTCATCGAGTAGCTCAGTCACTAATCCGTAGTTGTTGCTGTTTGCCGAGTCTGCGGCTGTAACCGAACTACACTTTTTCATCCAGACAACTTCCTCGCACTTTCCAATGACGTCACCTTTGTTCAAGCAGACCTCGCGATCACCAAGATTCAAAACCTTGACCACAGCGTTACTGCTTCCACTAACAAGGGTTCTCGCCGTCATCAGTTTTTGCGCCGATGTCTTGGTAGGAGTGCCTTCGATCAACACGCATCTGTTTGACATTTTCTTTCCAGCTGGCGGCAGTTTCACCAGCACCTGGGCTTCCGCTCGGTATAATGACTTTCTTTACACATGCGACTTTCCCGCAGGTGCCTCCAAGAATGAAGATTTCTTCTTCACCACACTTGAAAATTCCGTCAGCGACATTAACTCTACAGTTGTGTTTCTTCATGAAATCCAAACCCAAGATGCAATCATCCATAATCTCAGCCACGATGACGTTATGAGAGTATGAGGACCCCCCTACATACATCGTGACTGACATTTCTCCCAGGACGGGTATTGGCTGACCGGAGGCAGTAAGAAGCCGGCAGTTAATTCTCCACTTGAGTCCCTTTGAGGCTTTTACCAGTTTTGGGTTCACTATTGTTTTAGAGGCTCCTGTGTCTAGAGTCATTTTGCAATCCGTCCCGTTAATAGTACCCTGAATCACAAGGCTATTCCCGCTGCATGTCTGGGAGATAACAGTTATCGGGGCTTCCTCCGCGTCAGCCAGTACTCGCCCCTTAGTACTGGCTCCTCTATTTGTTCCTCAATCCTTTTCATCCTTGCCATCTGGGGGCAGTTGAGCTGAAGATGGCCCCTCTCGCCGCACTTGTAGCACATGGGTCCAGAACTTCTCTTCGTAGGAGCCTTAACCTCCTTGACTTCCTCAGAGACCTCGCGGATCTTATGGGTCTGCCGTATTTCATAGCGGACAGCCTCGACCTCCAAAGCGTGCGCCAATGCCTCCTTTAGCGAGGTATGGTGACGAAGCCTCACTGCAGCTCTGACCTCCAGGTCTTTGATTCCGTCCACAAATGCTTGAACAATATTCGTGTCTACCATCTTGGTGTCGGCTCCTGGGTGTGCCTTCTTGACGAGTTTTTCAATTTCCAACGCCCATTGTTGTAGTCCTTCTCCTGGGCGTTGGACTCGGTCACGCAGTTGGGCACGGAACACGTCCTCCAGGTGTCGCTTCCCGTACCTGGATTCAAGTGCCTCCATCAGGTCTTGGAACCCATTTCCTGTATGTGGCAGTGCTTCCAGGACCGACAAAGCTTGCCCTCTAAGCGCAACAGTAAGAGCGGTCAGGCATTGCTCTTCTGTCCACCCGTTGGCAGTAGCAACAGTCTGGAATTGCCGACGATAAGCGTGCCAAGAAGTAGTGCCGTCGTATGGCGGCACTTTCACTCTTGGTCCTTGTGCCACTCCAGTAGTGCCACTAGACATCGCGACTCCCGTGGTTTCAAGGCGCATTACTTTCTTCTGTAGATCAGTGAGGCCGGTTTTCACATTTTCAACATCCAATCCTAACCCGGTAACTCGTTCTTCCACTACGTCGACATCTTTTCGAAGTTTAATCACCGTGTTACTAACATCATTTATAGCCCAAAGCGCCTTTTCTTGGAGGTCTTTTTGTTGCTCTTGTGATTCTCGAATCGCTCTGATTTCAGCCTTTTGAAACTCTTGAATCGTAGTCAGCTTGCGTTCTTGTGACTCTTGCAAAGCGCTAATTAGTTCAATTAAACTTCCTAATTGAAGAGCCATTTCAGGGGCTGCAGAAGTTACGGTGCCGTTGGTGGGCGTGGCAAGGTGGGCGTGGTCAGTGGGCGTGGCCTGGTCGGTGGGGCCAGTGGGCGGGGCTTGTCCCGCAGTGGGCGAGGCTTGGTCCCCAGTGGGTGTGGCCTCCGCAGCTCGTGCCCTTGTTCTGACACCCTCCTTGAAGTCCTCTCTCGGAGTCAATGGCATCTCCAAATCCCACTTCTGACACCAGTTGTTACGTGTTAGGGGGTTCGAAGGATTTGGAGAGAAAGACCTGCTGACTCTTTTGAAGACTTTATTTACTAGCGCTAGGTCCAACACAAAGCACTAGGTCCAACACAAAGCACTAGGTCCAAACGCTAAGCACTGACGGTGTCCTAGGTTGTAGCCAAGTCGTAGGTATCACTGGTATCGCTCTTGATCACTAGTTTTCACTCCGAAGTCGCCTCGAAGGTAGCTCAAACCGAACTGTCATCGCTCGCCTCCCTGCGGCTTTTTATATGGGCCGAGACCGGTCCCGGACTAATCCAGAAAGATCATTCCTGGAACGTACCCGACACGCACGAACATGTTCGTGATTCAAGAAAGTTTGCGAATGTACCCGGTTTTCGAGACTATAGTTCCACAGCAGTTCCTCTAACGCCATCTAGTGTTGAATAGGGGGTTTTATGTCGTCTTTGTTCTTTAGTGGTTTTAATAGTTGACGCTAGATGGCGTTCGTTCCTTTGTGTGTTCATAACAATATTGTTATGAACTTTGTGTTCATAATTATAATTTAAATGATAACACACCCTGGAAATGAACTTATCGCTCCAGGCGCTTTCAATTGGACTTTCAACATATTGTAAACATGTATCACTGTCATAAAATGTTAAAATATGGTCCGCTGAGTTTCTTTCGTCGGTTCTTCTCAGGTCAGTGCCTTTTTCTTTTACGATGCTCCAATGTTGAATAAAGATATTTTATTTTGAGAGTATAAATGTATCGGGCAGAAGAAAGTGAGAGTGTGTTTCCTTATCATAAGCTAGTGGAATACTCTGCCACTGAGTAGAAGGCATGTGTGACAGGTCAGTCAGGTGAAGAAATACCTTCAGTACTTTGGAGGATATCTTATAGACTCTAAAAGATATCTAATAGAACGCATCCCTTTGGGAAGAATGGCAAGCATTTCTAAATTCCATTACAGTCTTCCACCAATACGAGCCCAGTAAGGTAGACTAGGTCCCTATCCCTGAACCGTAAATCCAGGCTAGTACTTGATGATAGACTATTATCAAATTCAAACTCGAGGTTTTCTTTATGTGAAACTTGTCAAGCGAGCAGGCATACGAGCAGATGCGTTGACCACCTTCAAAACCTCACTATTGTATTTGTAATGAATTTCTGTCAAACTGTTTATTTTTAAAAAAAAAAAGCCCAACGAGTTTCTTTCGCCGGTTCTGCTCAATACAGTGGCTTTCTTTTCCGAACCGGTGGTAGTATTTCGACTGTCAATAAGCGAGTGTAATACTCCTGCGCTGACTAAAGACATTTGATTTTGATTTTGATTTCGCAGGACATCCACTTCGCGATCACGGATCTGACTATCACGGCGGACCGAGAGAGGGCCGTCGACTTCACGACGCCCTTCATGAACCTCGGCATCAGCATCCTCTTCCGGAAGCCGAAGCCGCCGGGTCCCGCCTTCTTCGCCTTCCTACTGCCCTTCTCGAGCGGCGTACGTGTCTTCCTATTTTCTCCATACTGTGTGGCACGTTGCCGCGCCAATAATTGTTATTAATAGTAAAAGAAACTAGTTTACCCATTTTATCCTTTCGTCCTTCTACCCTTAGTACCCAGTCCCTCATTTCACCATGAACGCTACGATTACGATACGTCATTTATTAAAAACCAAAATTAAATCCCTAAACTAGTTTCATTTAATATGTATACTATTTGACATAACTACTTCATGTACAACAAGTAAAACATTTTTAGTTACAAAAAACGAAACTAACTTTAAATAACCCACTCACCGTACATTTTCTTTTCCTTTTTTTATGCGTGAAGGTGGCGAACAAGCTGGCGGTTCACCTGAAGTTAAGTGATAGCCACGGCCCATGGGAATTTGCATCCCCGTAGGGTTAGCCGGTGGGTTGCCATTTTTAATAAAGTAAGCCCAGGCTACCTCACTCTCCAGACGAAACACAGAAGTGTAAACTTCTACTTTACGCCGGTCTTCTGTGAGGTCGTGGCACTTACGCGGACGGCCTTGCCTATTCGTGCAACAGTGAACACTGAACCACAGTTAAATCTCGTAAACAATTAATCTTGTAAACTTTTGTAATTTAAAAATATAAGATTAAGGTTTCTTATTGGTTCTCCTCTGGACTGGTCTAGTTTAGTGAACCGGTGGTAGCTTTTTGACGTTAAATAAAGAGTTATTATGAACCTGTAATGAATAAAGTAATTTTGACTTTGACTTTGACTCTATATTAATAGCAATAACAATTAGTTAACAATTAGTTACCGCGGTTAACGTCTCAATTTGCGCGGGCAGGTGTGGGTTTGCCTGGGGTTTGCTTACTTGTTTACCTCGCTGGTGCTGTACGTGGTGGGGCGGCTATGCCCCGAGGAGTGGCAGAACCCCTACCCCTGCATCGAGGACCCGCCTGCCCTGGAGAACCAGTTCACGCTCGCCAACGCGCTGTGGTTCAACCTCGGAGCGGTTCTGCTGCAGGGCTCCGAGATCGCGCCCGTGTGAGTTGAGCACCAAATCAAATCAAATCAAATTTAGAAATATAAAGTTTTTTATTGTGTTTATCTCTGCACTTAAGATTAAACATTAAAGCTTGTAGAAAAAGTACGAAAAGATTGTCAAATCAAATTTAACTTTTTCAACTAGACGCGCGTTCTTATGATTCGTCAAATTTTACATAAAAAATTAATATATATATAGGTTCTTAAGGTACCATCGGTGTAATTTACTCTTATTACAGTATAATAGTACACGAATCTAACTAGGAAGGTAGGTTTTTCAGGTCATTGTGAAGGTTATTCATTTCAAAATAACAATTAGGGAGAAAACAGTTAGAAATAAAATAATACTTAAATGATAATTTGGACCTTTGTTGTTCTATAAACAGATGTTAACTATATTTGTATTTGTGATAAGGTGGCAAGCGAGCTGGCGGCTCGTATGATGTTAAGTGATAACCGCCGCCCATGGACACTCGCAACACCCGTAGGGTTGCACGCACGTTGGCACGTTCAAATCTAGTGGGAACTGGCTACCTCACTCACGAGACTAAACGCGGAAATGCACCACTTCCACTTCACGCCGGTGAGGTCGTGGTTCTTTCCCGGACGGACCTGCCCATTCGTACAGCGAAGACTGTCGCGTGTCCCTACCATGGTTTGCATTAAGTTATAGAACTTGGCGTGATGCAATGAATCACAAATAGGGCTTACGGCACGCGCGCTGTGGCGAGCGCGTGGTGGCTCTTCGCGCTGGTCATCACCAGCTCCTACACCGCCAACCTGGCAACGCTGCTGGCCAAGAAGACACCCACCGACCTCATCCACAACGTCGAGGAGCTGGCCGACAACCCTTACGGCATCACGTACGGCGCCAAAGCGGGCGGCTCTACCTACACATTCTTCGAGGTCAGTAGAGCAGATGAAGGGAGAACCTTTAAAGTATCTTAAAGCAAAGGATGGAAACCGTTCAAAGGATGATTTTATAAGCCTAAAGTGTTCATCAGTTGATGTATGTTTTCTTAGACGTGGTGGAAGCGGTGTATTTATTAATGTAATACGTGTAAGCAGATGAAGTAAGCTAGTTGTTTAATAAACTACTATGGTAAATATCAAACCGATCAGATAATTACTTTTTGTTAAATGAACAGGTTATAAAAATGGCTAACACTTTTCGCTTCAAGAACATTAGAGAGATTCAATGTACTTATAAATTTCAGGACTCTGCTATATGTATTAAATCTGTGTAAAATAATCTGATAGTATTTTTTTCAGCCTTTTTCTTGTATTACATTCATAAAATCGCCCAACTTCAGAGATGTGATAAATTCATGAAACTTATTGTAAGGACGTGACCGTAGATCTCGCAGAACGCACTGTACCAGCGTATGTTCCAGAAGATGAAGGATCAGAAACTCCCGGAGTCCAACGTCGCCGGAATTGAGAAGTAAGAGTGCTTTATTGTTATCCAAATATCAACACTATCATATTATTGACTAATAACTTTCTCGTTAGATATTAGATTGGAAACAATAGTAATTTTGCTCCATATCTTATACACACCGGGGTAGTCTACTATCAACATTATCATATTATTGACTAATAACTTTCTCATTTGATATTCGAATTGGAAACAATAGTAATTTTGCTGCATATCTCACACACATAGGGGTAGTCTACTATCAATATTATCATATTATTGACTAATAACTTTCTTATTCGATATTCGAATTGGAAACAATAGTAATATTGCTCCATATCTCACACACACCGGGGTAGTCTACTATCAACATTATCATATTATTGACTAATAACTTTCTCATTCGATATTCGAATTGGAAACAATAGTAATTTAGTTCGGCTCTAAGTGACTCTAAGCCTCCATATCGAGACGATCTCACGTGTGGGTCTTTTACGCAACGAGTTGCAACACTATTTTCAAGAGCGTGGTCCATTGAATAAACGTTTTCGATCTTCATTCGCTTCGGGACTCACCGACCGGTGAGGACATCAGCTGGTTTAAATATAAAGTTTACTTTAAAAAAAATTAAAAAAAAAATAATAGGTATAAGATAGAATCCGCGTTAGTTTAACTTTTTCCTTATATTGACAGAGTGACGAACGAGAATTACGCATTCCTGATGGAGTCGACGTCCATCGAATACAACATAGAGCGTAATTGCGACATCACTATGGTGAGTGGAAAAGCAACAGAATAAGAGAGATGAATGGAGAAAGTAGGAGTTTAACGCACCCTGCGTAGAACAACGTGATATCTGCAAAATTGTAATTGTTCAGGATGGCCGATCCAAATTATTATTTTTTTATTTTGGTTATAGTTTTCTTATACTTTATAGCAACTGCTATTGCTATTACAATTTTTGGTTATTATTATTATTTAGGTTTGTGATATAATTAGGTATATTAACAAACTGTATACTTTTTGAATTAACAATTATATAAATTTAGGAAATAAGAGGTTTTATGTGTAATAGTGACGTTTTCCTACGGAAAATGGCAAGAACTAATGGGTCATAAGATCACATAAACACGTTTGTATAACGTTGTTCAACGGAACATTCCAAAAAATAATAGGTCACACGTTCATTTATAAAGTTTTCTACTAAAAACGCAGAAAATATGTATGATACAAACGCATGTAGCACTGTTTTCAACGAAAAAACCATAAAAGTGGGTAACTCTGCAATAATTATCAATTGACTCTAATAGAGTATTTTACACTTGTCTATGGGTAAGCTTAGACGAAAAAAAAAGTGTCTAAACGTATCATCTAAATCAGAACGTTGTTCTATTCTGAATCTCAATATCTATAACGAAAAAAAAAAAAAATTAATATCATCTGAAAGCGTAGACAATAACTAAGACTTTTTGATGATAAAATCAAATTCGTTCTATGTGACCACAGAACGTTATTCTACGCACGGTGCGTTGATGGAGCTTTGTATGTTCAATGGTAATACTGAGTTAAAGACAAGTAGGGAAAAGTAAACCAAAACTAAATTAACAACATATATACGACGTCGTGTATAGGTTTACAGTTGGCGAGCCTTGTATTGGGATCGGATCTATTACATTGTTTCAAACTAGGCGTTAAGTATATCAAAAATCATAGTCTGTTTAACGTGCTAAGCGCTTTCTGTTTATATTATTTATAATTTGGTAGAGGCGATGGTAAGGATATCGAAAATTGTAATCTGTTAACGTGCTAAGCCCCTTCTATTTATATTATATATAATTTCGTAGGTTGGTGAACCGCTGGACAGCAAAGGTTACGGCATCGCAATGAAGAAGAGTAAGCTATATTTGAATAATCTCATGCATTTTCTCTCCTAAAGCATACCATCATAACTACCGCAATCATGATTCATTTCTCCTTTAACAAACTATACGAGCTTGGAGGAGTGTCCAAATTTCATTTCATTTTATATTCTTCGGAAAACATACGGCTACATTTAAAAATAAGCCAATGACATTTTTTTGCGATTAAGTTATTTTAATATGGCCAGTTTATCACTCACCATTGTCTGCAAAAGAGTTGAACAAAAGAGTTGAAGTTTGAACCATTGGTGATTTGCTAATAATAACTTTGTATATGATGCTTTCACTTCTCCGCCCAACACTTAATGGCGCTGCGATCTATATAGAGCACGCTATCGTTTGTCACTTGGGAGGAAATGAGGTCACCAAAAAATTTTAGATCAATATAACCAGTAACAGATCAGTACATAGTGTAGTTTTATTTATAAACTTCCTAGTGTGCACAACTATTGTTTGAAAGGCTACTTCGGTCTTTAACAACTTATTTAAATATTTAATTCCTGGTCTGTTTACCACCCAACATTGCCTGCAAACTTATCATTTGACCCATTGGTGAATACGATTATTTGCCGCAGAATCACCGTACCGCCAGGCGATGAACCTGGCGCTCCTGAATCTGCAGGAGGCCGGTGAGCTTCGCGAGATGAAGCAGCGCTGGTGGAAGGAGATGCATGGCGGTGGCGCTTGCAAGGTAGAGTGTCAGTTCCTATACGATTTGAGTTCTAGCCATTGTTGTAAATACTCGTAAGATATCCATTTAGTCTATCCCGCGAAATATTGTCATGGTTTATTTTTCTTCTAGATCAATATCATCGTTTCAGCCTGAGTCCACTCTTGAACATAGATCATCTGCGTCATCATTTCAGCTTGACTCCGCTGATGAACATAGGCCTCCCCCACAGAGTGCCACGAAAGCCACTTGTATCCATCGACTTCCCGCACATTTGCACAGGTTACTCCGTCCAGTGTGGTCCGACACTGCGATGACCAGTACGAGGCTGCCACTCGAGAACTTATCCTCCCCATCAACCTAGCTTCTTAACTCGACAACTGCATATACTATTTTCAGCCGACATCAAAGAAGAGATTTGTGTTTATCTTTATGTTTGTTACCTCAAAATTCCGTCATTTATGTACCGATTTTAAAAATTCTTCATGCATTCGGCTCGATCGCATATAGGATTCTATATATATATCAGAAAATTCTCAAAATCAAATAGAAAATGTATAGTGTGCGAGATATTTTGTGAGTCTGTTTGGTCATTTGTTGATAGAAAAACACAATTTTATAAGATCCGCTCAAGTCAGCGCTTCACCAATGGCGTCTCTTGCAACAGGAGGAAGAGGAGCACGGCGGCGAGGAGTTGGACATGAACAGCTTCGTCGGTCTATTCGTTGTGCTGGTGGTGGGTTGCGCGTTGGGAGTGGTGGTTTCTTGCTGCGACCTCGCGTGGGCGGCGGCGCGTCATCCAAGGGACCCCACCGAGTCCTTCGGGCGGAGGTTGTGGACAGAGCTCCGCTTCGTATTCAGCCTGGAGCGGTCCGAGAAGCCGCTTTACGGGCCGCTGCTGCCGCCGAGCCCGACCGGCTCGCCGGGCTCGGGCGCGGAGCGCGCTGGCTCCGCTGGCTCGGTGGAGTCGCGCGCTGGCTCGGGCTCGGAAACTGGCTCGGAGGTCGGTGAGGAGGGCTCGCGAACGCCCCGTCCACGGGCTAGGTCGAGCGCGCGCCGCTGCTCTATGCACGCTGCCAGCCTGCGGTTGGCTCGTCACACCACGCCGCGGCCCAACTGAAGCGGTGACAATGTTCACACCGTAACCCAATAATAAAAAAGAAACTGTCTAGGCGCTCCACCCAAAAATCGTTTCATAAACGAAGAAGTTATCCGCGAACACACATAAAAAAAAATAAAAATATATGCAGTCGAATTGAGAAACCTCCTTCTTTTTTGAAGTCGGTTACAAAGACCTTAATTAAAATATAATGGTTTAATTAAAAAGCATGGAAATGTAGGCAAATGTCAAGAAGTTATTTGTTGCCGAGGTAACACCGTGGTGTCGCTCTTAGGTGTCGAGTATCGTAAAAATTCACTCTCATAAGCTTCTGAAATTATTTTTTTAATTAATACAATATCATAAATCTCATCCATCTCTCTCTCGTACTTCAAACTTTAATAGTTGCCTAATACGCTAACTTTATTTTATTTTTTATTTTTTTGTTCACGAGAACGCCCATATCCGAAACAATCTGTTGATCATACAAATAATTGTCCCGTGTGGGAAACGAACCCACGAATCCCGGTGCCGAAGGAAGTATCTTGGCAACTGCGCCACGGAGTAATCAAAGCTAATGCTACGATAAAGTTTCAACACTTTTCCACTTAAACTTATCACAAACAACTGTTTTTGGAATTTGTGATATTACAATGTATATATTATATTTGATATATGCATATTAAGAACATAACAATGCACAATTATTATCTTACCGTTTCAAATGTTACTGTTTTAAAAGTTAAGAATATAGATGTAAATAACTACTAAAAAGAAGGGAATTAATATTAAGCATTTTACCTAATTAACCATCAAAGCTAGTGTAAATACCGAACGGTTTAATTAAATTGTTTTATTGCTGTTTACAATCTTAATTAAAAACTAGTCTAGTCATATTTATTACCAATAAGGATGAATATCCTTATTACTGTCAATATGTTAATAAGCATAAATATATTAATAAATAAAGCTTGTCAAGATAAAATTTACGTTATAAATAACAGCTTAAATATAATTTCATTAAAAAACTAATTTATTCATATAATTCTGTGGACATCAGTTTTAACATAACATTCCACATAGTTTACAAACAGCATCTTACACTTCTAGCAAGACAACAATCTGAAAAAATTAAAATGTTTTATATAACTAAAATTCAACTGACAACTAAGAACATAATCGACTAAATGTTGTTGTAACACTTAGGTCTATAACAATGTTCACACATTGTTATAGACCATATCATCGATTTATTACTGTTACTTAACGTGAATTCTACAACTTACTTTAAATTGACGTGAAATGTACATTTTCAGCAACAATTTTTGTTTAAAATGTCAAATGACATTTCATAATACCAAAAGTCGAACATTCAGATGAAATTCATTGTCAAATAAAGTGGCGGATTTAACAGCTGTCTTAGTAGGCTAGAGCCTAGGGCGGCAGATTTTAGGGGGCAGCAAATTTGGGCCAAAAATTTTTGTCCCACAGAAATAAAGAAAAAAATTAGTCTTGAACATTTTACGAAAATTTTACGTTATGTAAGATTTTCATAACTTGGTTTTTTTCTTTGTGATCTGAGTGTTCAGAAAATGTAATAGAGATACTGTTGGAATTATTTTTAAACTGTAAGCGCAATAAAAAAAGTAAACAAAATTTACTAAATTTACCTTATTTTGTGTAAGCTGTTTTCATATATTGGTCTGAGTATTTATAGCTATTAGTATTTATACCTAACCCTGTCTTGTAATTAGATTTATTATTATACGATTTATTCACAGAGAAACTATGTTAGTGTTATCTTCAGGAAATTAGAGTTGTAAAGATAATCTAGAAACTGACACAACGAAACCCTTGTTCAGAATCATGCCAATAACGAGAAAAAACTGATATAATGAAGACGATAGAGAGAAAAAGGTGCAATTTTGTTGACAGAATAATTAATGTAATTAATGAGTGGTACCTTACGAACCTATATACATAATCTTTGATGTAAAATTTGACGATTCATAAGAGCGCGCAAGCGTCTATTTGAATAAATATATTTTTGATTTGGATTTTTGATTTTGATGTATGTTTGAGAACTAGGGTATTGAACTTCAGAGGCCAGTAGGGCGGCAAAAATAGCCTATTGAATATAATAGCCAACTAAAATACATAAGAATGACACAATATTTTCGACATATCTCGAATAGATACAAGCTGGGGAAATAGTAAATGTCATATAGAAATTACTTGAAACTAATCTGATTTTACTAAAAAGTGTAATATAACTAAAATTTAGGTCGCTTCAAGAGTTACCGTAAGAATAATATTATATTTTTATAGTTCAGGTTATGTAATAAAAATACTTAATTTATTTATAAATATTTTATTTCCACTTTCCTTTCATTAGATTGCCGGTTCGACCTTTTTGAAATATTATTATATATACTAACTTTTGCCCTTAAATTAATATCTTTTTTAAAAAGATTATTTTTTAATAAAAAGAATCCTATGTCCTCTTTAATAACTCTAAGAATATGTGTACTATGTATGTGTAGGGATACTATTAAATATATATATAATATTAAATATTTCGCAGCCCCACTTGATTCAATTAATTGCATACATAGAAATATTCATACCTATGACTGTAAAGCAAGATGATTTTTGGATATACCTATTTTTTTCAAATTATGTAGTTACATTTAAAATTGCAGATTTTTTTATGTGAGAATGTGGCTAGCGAGCTGGCGGTTCACCTGATGTTAAGTGAAAACCGCCGCCGATGGACATCTGCAACACTCGTGTTGCTGATGCGTCGCCACCTAATAAAGTGGGCTCCGGTTACCTCATCAAACGAAATGCAGAAATATAACAGTTCCACTATACGCCGGTATCTTTGAGGTCATCCGTACAACAGCGATGACTGTTGTGGGCAACACAACAGTCATTATAGTTTTAGTGTTTTAATCTGAAATATAATTGGACGTGAAGTAATACAGGATGTATATTAATAAAATATAAATGCCACAAATTGCAACAGCGGAGCTGCCTAGTGCGAAGTTCATTATTCAAAGTGACAGATGTAAGTTATAAGGCGAAGTTCAGAACAGCGCAGTTCCATGATAACAACTAAGCGCGTCGTTTGCACTTTCGGTAAACAGACTATATAAAGCCTCATCGGGCCCAAAGCTTATAGAAAGACTAGGTCCTCCAAGCTTGTCAATTCATCGGAATCACGCACATATACTTATAAACAAAATTAGAGGAATGTCTCCTACGAGCCGGCTGGTAATTTGCTGTATTCTTTTAAATATTTGCGGTTCAAATTTTTGGGGTTCCGTACCCAAAAGGGTAAAAGGAGACCCTATTACTAAGAGACTGTATATCATGAACCGTGATAGACAGTTTAGCAATGATGTATTCTTGTTGCCGCTATAACCAAAGTCAACCAATAGGGACTTGCCAATTAGTTTATTGCAGATAATGGTATTGGTTTTTATAAAAATTATTGTGTTTACCACCCGTTGCATCACATCGAGAGGAGTTTTGTCTCTCTCGAAGAACTGTTTTATTATCTCTCTGAAGAAATCGCTTACCTTACGCTCCGCAGGTCGATGCTTCTCTGGCCACCCTACAATGTTTGCAATGGAGCCAATTATATTCCGCAGCTTCTTTTTGAGAAACATGCGCTAGAGACATGGGTAGAACATTACAACTCGTATACTGTACTCATATAAACTCGTCATCGTACTATAATATCTTTGGGTATATTTATATATGAAATATGTATTTAACGTTGCCATACTGTCAATCAAACTACCGCGTGAAGTAAACGCTAAAAACGAGAACATGTGAACTTGGCCTAAGTATTAACTTGACACACTAACCGAGCGTAAATCGATAGACCGCTTACATAACATTTTAATTGGTTAATTTGGCAGCCTAAAACTTGTCCTAGTTTATGCGGCGCAGTCGTTCCTTTACCTACTGTTGATCCAAACGTTTAAAGAAATTTTCACAATCGAGAAAAGGTGACCCAGTGGTTAAGATAACGCTTATATCACATCATCATTATCCCTTGAATAAATTGTTTATAGACGTGTGTTATTGTATTAATGCTAGTTTCTATAAACGAGTTTTTTTTCTTATTATTTTTGAGAGAGAAACTGGTCACGTCAACTCAAAGCCGGCATTTCTCGAAATGCATGTGTTGTAACTATTGAGAAATAAAAGTATGATTATAGTTCTCAAAATATGATTTTTAATAACAACCAAAAGCCATATTTTTATGGACGCTAATATATACTAACGTATACACAATAATAATATATAATATAAGCTAATATATACACAAGGCCTCCTCTGTACAGAGGGTATCAGGGCCATAGTCCACCCCGCGGCCCCACTGCGGATTGGCGGACTTCACATATTTTCGAAACACATTTTTTTGTTATTATTTCGAAAATATGCAGGTTTCCTCACGATGTTTTCCTTCACCGCTGAGCACGTGATAATTCAGCACTTAAAATTGACAATTTCATTGGTGCTGGCACCGGGGATCGAACTCAGGTTGCTCGAGTATATATTGAATTAAGGGCGAGCGCCCGGACACTGAGCTATCACGGCTCATACCCTCTGTACAGAGGAGGCCAGCAGTGGGACATGTATAGGCTGTTACTTTACTTTACTATATACACAAGGTTTAGGGTGATGCCCTATTGAAATTAAGTAAAAATTACGTATATATTTCAAAAAAACTTATCAAACATATAAAAGTACCAACATATCCTGAGCGAAAATAATGATGTTCGTACAAACGTTTACGCACGTAATTGGGTCAGGGACTTTGAATTTCCCCATAGCCTTCAGCTCCTTCTGGGGTCCTTCAGCTTTCATACTACGGACAGCGTGATTTACCAGAATAATAATGTGAAAGAATAGAATAAAAATATTACTGTCCGTTATATGATCAGTATAAGCTCTGATCTTATCTGAAAGATTCAAATAACCGTATCAAGTATCAAAATCTG